TATATATATATAATATATATATATATATATGAACGCATGTATGTATGTATGGATTGATATGTGTATGTATTGATGTATCTATGGATTGATGAATGTATGTGGGTACGTATGCATGTATGTATGTATGCATGCAGTGGATGTACGTACGGGTGTATGTAATGCATGTAATGTGTGCATGTATGTCTGTTCCAAGCAGTGTATGAGTTCCTTCACTCGATGGGATGCAAGACACGACATGAGAAAGAGGTTGCAATGGCAGGATTTTTCGGCGAAAGCGTTAAGGGTACGGTCCCAGGTGTCAGCGAGCACCAACGGCGGCGCAAGGTAGGAAGCTCTCCGAGAAAGAAGACAGGGAAGAAGACCAGCAGCTTTGGAACCAACCATTCGTCGTCTGAGGAGGAAGGGAAGAGCCCGCAGCTCTCCGAAGCCGCCATAAATAGCGAAGAAGAGGAAGATACGCCATGGAGGCACTTCGACGGCATTGATGACCTGGAACAGGCTCTGAGGGCTTACATAGAAGAGTGGGGGGAAGATCATGACGACGGTAAAAGCTGTGCCCATTGGTTGCGGAAGCTAGCTCGTGCGAGGGAAACTGGAAAAACTGAAAAGCTATTGATGAAGTGGAACGCTGCTGTTGAAGGACAAAACACGAGCAATGGGGATGAAGCCGAAGATGGGACAAAAGAGAGTTCGAGGAAGAATGCCAAAAAAACGGCCCCGAGGGGACGGTCAACTGAACGAGATCCCCCGGCAACATGTGACGGTGGAGACTCGGCACACCCTCGAGGGCGCCGTTCAGGCTCCACTGGGGTAGATCCTGAAGCCGTCAAACTTTTCTTCTCAGGAAAAGCTGGAGACCAGGTAAGCAGAAAGTGCGTGCTGCGACTATTTGCGCCTTTCGTGCAAATTAATAGTCAAAATTACAACTAGACGGCGTAAATAGCCGCCAAAAGTGCGCGCGCGTGGTATAAGGGCCGCTAGCTGTATTCTCATTAACCGTAGAAGAGGGAGCACTACGCACACAGATGACCTCGCGTGTGCGATGTCGTCAGGTAAATTTGAGGAACACAGGAAAGCACACTCACCGCCTTACTTTCGTTGTCTCCTCACGTTCAGCCTCAGTTGCCCCATCTGAGAAGCGAGCTGACGAGGAGGAGAGATGATAACTTTACCAGGTTCATTAAAGCAAGCATCGGTGGCATGTCGGCCAAGAAGCAAGCGACTGCGTCGTCAAAATGTAGCTACTGTCAATCAAGTCAATTTGGTTGGCCAGACCCAAGAATCTGCATTTGATATCAAATGGATTTCAAAGACCTACGCCAGTACGCGTGACTGGCATTGCGAAGACTCGCTCCGCCTGCTTTCTTCCCCTCCCGATGGCACTAACGCTCGTGTCGTTTTTGTTGAAGTCATCAGTGGGACTCTCAAGCTGAGCCCGGCAGAACGACACTTCGGATGATGAAGCGCATCATTCATCTGCCGCATGGCTGCAGAGGAAGTGCATAGTCGGTGGTGATTACTTCGACCTGGTGATTGCGGCTACAGTCAAATAGATATCGAAGACTCCCTACTTTGGCTGTGGAAAATTTGCGTGTATTGGATATTCGCGTGGGGAGTGCCTCAGCGTGGGAGCCCACAACGGTGGCTGAACAGGCTAGGTGCACATACAGGATGGGGAATTCCCGAGCAGTTGCGCGGGCTGCTCCGTTGGCCCACACACAGCTACGTTTGTGTGCCCTCGAGGCATCATGAGTCTTGCGTTCTCTACACTCCCCCCACCACGGGCCAGGCAGAGTCCGCAAGCTGCATTGACGTAATTTGCTCGCTCAACAGGTTCGCTTAGTGACGGGTCTTGGTAGCAGGCTGAGGGGGTTCGCCAATCGGGAGCCATTACAGCTGTGTCAAAGCTTGGCTAGAATCGCCAACATTCTTCAGAACTGTTGGCCGAATCACGTTAAATTCCGTTCTTTTGCAGATGCCCCGGGAAAAACACGAAAGGATTCTGCTCGACAAAAGGTAGTGCCGGTCGAAGAGGGTGCGTTAGACGTAGACGCCGTGATTGATTGTGTGGGGAGACAGCAATGCCAGCATTATAGCGTAGGGCGCGTTATTCACTGTTACACGCATTTTGCAGTTCCTCTTCCCTAGGCATTGAGAACAAGTGGAATGCCAGGGCTTCTGCCTCGTTTTGATTCATGTAAGCGTGCAAGTTCCCGCCTTTCGTCAACATGCACGCAATGCATAAGCTGTCCGAGATGGTGGCAAAACTTGGATTATCCTTAATGGGGTATTTGCGTGCAAGCGAGCGCTGTTCTTCGTCCACTGCTGGCATCATGTTTTCCTCATGGGCATCCGACTTGACAGGATCTTCGACTGCAATGACCGACGTAGGGCAGACTATGCAAACAACTCCTCCAGCTGCACGCACAATCAACAATCAGTAACGCGTGCAGGCGGAGCGAAACCGGGTGAGTAAACATCAGGTCAATGGGAATGGTGTCGTTATACTTTTGCTTTCCTCACCTTCGATTGACCCATCCTTATCTCGACAGGAAGACAGGTTAAGCACTTGCTGGCGGCTCTCGAAATGTAACAAACCAGACAGTCGCACAACCCTTGCCTCCGGCACCAGCAATAGCCGACCAACCACTAGGCTTACGAAGACAATGCGCCGTCTCATGAAAGTGGCTATCAGCGCTGCTCCCTCCTGCAGCGCAGCTCACAGTATAATGCTGGAAAATGTATCCGTGCCGATTACCTCGGAAGTGTGCATTCACAATGGAGCATAGCCCACCTGCGGCACACGCCACCCCTGAGCGCCCAAGGCCTGTTCTTCGCCTGTTTTGGTCTCACTGTGCTTGACAAGAACTGTAGTTCCTGCATGCACCCATTTAATTTTACTTCTTAAGAGACCGTCCACTTGGTGACGAAGTTCCTCCTGACGAGACAGGGCATTCGCATGCTGGTCTCTACGAGAGCGCGGGCCTGGCGTCCCGTAACAAGCCTTCACTAGGTCCGCCAATTTTTTCGAGAGAAGGAAGATTTTCTTGTGAGAATGAACCCGCCGGAAGAGCAGATGAGGATCGAGTGACTCCACATTTCTTGGGTCCCGCAAGTCGCCGTCCAGCTGAAACAATGGAACGAAAGGACAACTATGCAGGCGTACTCTCCAAAGTGGGCCTTATCACACTAGTTAGGGTATTTCGGTAATCTGGTACTGAGCAGCAAGAATGCGCGCACCAGCGGTGTTCTGCTATCCAAACCAAAGAAATCGAAGATCATCTGCACGACCCTCGACCCTTCCGCGTCGCAGTTCGCTGGAAGTAGAATATGGAAGAGACTCCCTGGCTTTGAAGCCGCTGCAGCAAGTGCATAGAGGCTCCCTTCTTCTTCCGTGGCAGCTGGTGTTGTCGAACTGCGCTCAACACCGTTTTCGGCACTCCCAGATGCTGGGGTTGTTTGTGGTTCATCCGGTAGCAACTGTCCGTCAAGCAGCGGGTTAGGTTCCGGATCCACTGGACATATGGCACCTGAACCTGCGTCACCCTTCTCAGCTGTGCACGGCGGAAGTGATGTGTCGTTGAAGGCTGACTTCAAGGTTGATCTGGGGCCCCCACTTGCTCGAGAGCTTTGACGGCCGTGCCGCTTCTCCGCTGCAGCAGCCCTTACCTTGTTCTTGTTACTTATGAAAATCTGACTCGCATCAAGTTCCGCGACCTTGCGGAGGCAGCAAACGAAAAACCCCCCCGTATTGTTGTGATGGGGCAAAACGCGAACACACTTTTCGAGGGACATGGAATCGGCACCCAGCGGAGGGAACATCGTGGGCCTGTAAGCGAAGCAGAAAATTGTAGAACGACCGTTGCTGTCTGAGGTTCTTAAATTGCAAAATGCACGAATTCTAACGAAGCTTTTTGGCAGGCCTCACCGAATGCGATGGTGAAATTCCTCTGGCACTTCATCAAACGTTCGAAAGAAGGTGGTCTGGCTGCCTGCTGGTGTATTGGGCTCGCAGGACTTTTCTGTGATCCCAAGCTCTTTGGCGGGAGGCGACGGCACAAGCCAAAAAGACTTACCCTTCGACCACTTGAGTCCTGCAGATGCCACAAGGTAACTGCTAGATTTGATGCACTGGGGAATATTAAGTGGACTGCAGTACATGAGCGGCACCCAAAGGAGGAGGCAAAAGTCCATGCTCCGGCTAATTATGAGCTGCAGCGGAAGTAACTGCTATATGCACGAGCAGCTGGATATCGTACTCACCCGGGAGTTCTGGCGGGTCGACAACCTCCACGCGGCCCTTTTGTTGTGACAACACAGTCGCAATGACGGCCTAAGGTCAACAGTAGCAGTCGCATTAGGTTAGGTCAAAGGAATTCACCAAGCCGTTGGCGGTGCAAATGAGCTGCATGACTTCGGTAGAACCTACCTCATCCTCTAGGGGATTGAGCGAGCAGGTTGAATAAACGATTCGACCATTGACCCGTAAGAGCTGGAGGCCGCGGTAGAGAATAGCGAGCTGGGTGCCAGCACATACAGCAAATGAAATTAGCATAGACATATTTGCACTTACATAGGCCTTCAAACACATTTAGAGGTACAATTATACCCCCACATGTACATGTCTGTCTTGGGGAAGGTACCGTCGCCGCTACCAGCAAATGAGAACAGATACGGTTCGAGCAAATACCTGGATTGGGTGCATGCTATGGCCACCGCCGGCATTCCAGCTTCTCCATACATCCAAGTTCTTACGAAGTGTTCCGTCGCCACTACATGGTACGTCGGCTGATGCACAGATAAATCATCGAAATAGTAATATGGCAATAAACGGTCTAGCCGCCAGGCAATTAGTCGAGCACAGCTTGGAGGCATAAGAGCAGCCTACCCAGGATTCTGTCGAATTGCACTTTTTCCTGCAGTTACATGCAAACACCCATAACCCACGAAACAATATGGCTAGTCCTCCAGAAGCTGCACAAAGTTCGCGAGAGGGAAGCTTGTTCATGCCTCTAACTAACCTTTTGAGAACCGTCTCTTGAGCTCTCGTGGAGCGTCGGGAAGGACGATGCTGCATTGACAAAAACGCCAGAGGGCAAATCTCAAGTCGTGAAAACTATAATCAGAACTACGAAGACCCGGGGACGGTAGCTTACGGTAGACGGCCGTGTGCTGCCTACACTCGGCTGCCTGAACGCTTACCGTCGAGGCAGCTAACTGCCACGGAAGGGGATGCTAGCTTCTGCACCTGGTGTGTTAATGTTACTGCACGCTTTAGATCAACATCGTTTGCGATAACTGCGCCTGCTCAGCCGTCATACCAGATGCACAAATGGAGGTTCCGAAATTCTACAAGCAGCTCAACCTCAAAAACTACAGCCCTTCTGCCTTACTAAGTTCAGCCCAAATGACCGCTAACCCGTAAGCACAAAAGCGCAGTTAACGTTGAGCAAGCTTGAAAGGCAGGTTCCTACTCGTGTAGCCTGTCTCTGGAAGTGGCAGCGCCTACCAGTCACTGGAGAAATACCAACGGATCCCCCAGATTCCTTTGACTCACGAAGCCTGGCATTCCACTGTAGCATGTCAAGCATTTCTGATGTCTTAGACCCTACAGAAAGCATGCCACACGTACACACAGAATGCTTCATCCATGAAATGCATCAAGTGTAAGAAGCTCAGAAATAACTCTGCGTACCTTCTATGGAGAAAGACTATCTGACAGTAAAGTATTAACAAAGTGCGAGCTTATGGAATACCGCGAAAGCTACCTAGCCATCAATAAAGGCTTAAACTGGCCTTCCAGTAGAAACAGCATAATTACCCGGGGACGAACACATATCCAGCACGAGATGGTGTGGCTGTATGTCCAAGAATAGGCATGGAAGCATGCTGACGGCCTCTTGTCTTGTGAGCGACCCCTGAAAGCAGATAGCGTTGCACTTGCTAGTGCGACCCACTGAATTACCAAGCCAATGTCCAATACCAATAAAGGATAGACGCCCTGGATGAGCATTTACTAGTGTTTACTGTTTGGCAACTGATGACAGGGAGGGCAAAACCACCAGCATGTCGCATGTGATTCTTACTCGAAAGTCTTCGTTAATGATATGAGAGCGGATTTCTTTATAAAAGCTGTCCTTTTTCATGTCCACCTTGCTCGCCGTGTCCCATTGCCCTGCGCATACTCACTCTGTATGCAAATTTGTACTGTGGTTACTTTCACGATAATTTCAATGCGCAACCTGAACTATCTGGACTCAAATGCATTATGGGTATGAAAGCTCACATGCAAGCTCATGAGGGAAGAACTGCAAGTGTCGCACAGTGCGTTTCCCCTGCAAACATGCGCGCCGCCGCTCCCCGTAAGCGCAACTTTCAGCGTCTTAGCTATGAGCTCAACTCTTCCGATCTCGATTGTACCTAGAGTAGCAGCGTACCTCCTCCATGCTCATCTTAAAAAGCAAAGCACGTGTGCTTCTCCAAAGTGGAGCGGAAACGTTGACACGCACAGCAGCTGCAAAAGCCACGAGCAGCACCTGAATGCCCAACCCTTTTGGCGGCACAATTAGGGCGCTTTGGTGGTCGAAGAAATGCAAGCAAAAGCGAAGTATTCCCGTAGGATTGGGAGCACTCAGTAATGTGTCCCTACTAGCGTGCTGGCGAGATGGAGCCCTTGGGTAAAATATACGTAATCATACCTGGCAGGCGTTGTCTTTGGATGGCCATAAATTGATCCCACTCTTCCAAGGGGCAGATACTTTGTGCCTGCATGCAGGAGAGCGAAATTAAGAATACTCCCATTAACTCTGCAACCAAACACCCGGGTGTAGCAACATCTCTTGAGATTGCAGAGGCTACTTAAGGTTGTGCAGCTCACACTCGTAGAATGGAAAACAGCGCCCATCCAGCATTGCCCCTTAGACCTTAGACTGCTACCATCCCATGCAATTATAAAACAACATCTTTTGTTGGTGATCTCCTGAAACTAACCTTGTAATATTCTTCGTATGCCGCATTTTCATAGACGATTTGCTCATACGCTTCTTTCTTTTGGTGGGACTTCTCGTTTCTCGCCTCTGTTGCAGTTGCCCTTTGATATTTGGCTGCTCGCCTCTTACCCATCAACTCAGCGCCCCTAAATGAGCGCTTCCCTGGAGCCATTTTCCGGCTGCATGCAAGTACGACTAAATTCGCGAACGACAGTATTTCTCGTAGAGAGCACGATCGCCGTAAGCATTACCCCGGCCACGCTAGCATTCACGTCTGCAGGAGAATGCTAAAGCCGACGAGCAACCAGTTTGTTTCATGGAAGACAGCTAATCGTTGGTGGCCCGCTCAAATTGGTGAAGATATTGCAACCTCCATCGGTGGCGCTCAGCAGCACATAATGGAGGCTCCCTTTGTTGCTCCCACGGAAATCCTTCTCAGATCAACGGATTTCAATTCTGGTCAAATGTGTTGGGGATCAACTGCTGGCCAGAGTGTGCCTCGGGTGAGGGTTACGCATGCCTTCCGTCCAGTGCCGATGCTCTCAACTGGTCCGATAAGCTCTGGGCATTTTTGCTGTCAAGTTCCTAGCTGCATTTTTCGAATTCTGAATACTGTGTCAATGCTATAGTTATTTCTCCTGGTATGGTGCAATGCATCGAACACTGCAGGTACGTTGTGGCTTGCACTGGTGAGGCCCCTTGGGGAGGCCCCACACCTCCATTCCGGCAGGCCACTTGGGCATGAAGCAGTAGCTAGAAATAGTGTCATTTTATTTTAGCTTCTATTCGCATTTAACCCTTTAGAGTGAAACACCGCTGGGATTGCCCAACGGCTCCACAGAGCACGCGGCTTTTCTTGACAAAGTAGTGCTGGCACAACTCTGCGAGACGGGCTGGTTTCTTCTAAAATTTGGGTCTAACAATGCAGTTCCCACTGCGTAGTGCTTCAGGTTTGGTGTTACGCATAGACCGGGAAAGTGTTCACAGTAGTTTGTCGTCCATTTGGATTATCCCCTGTCTCTCTGTAGCCTAGTAGCATAGCCTTCACAATATGGACGAGTCTGCCTCAAGCTGGTAAATGGACACTTCCCCAGCCCTAATATGACATACATTACCCAATCATAAGCTCAAACCAACGGTATACAGCGCTCATGGGTGCAGCCAATAAGGCCTGTGTACTTGCATATGGGCTGTGTTCCCACATGAGATGCACCTGTTAAGTCAGCACGGCACATTCGCCAGGCAAGATCACTCACATTCGCTACACCAGGCGGGGTCCGGTGAAGTTGGGAGGTCGTCTCTCAATCCCTTGGACTCGACTGCAGCTAATGAGGGTCCTCTGCTAAAATAAGTCGAGAGTCCGCATTACCTTTTTCGTCGTAGGCGTGAAATGGCTTCGTCAGGTATGGGGCATTGACGATCGTTTTGAATGGTGAGGTACCTGCCATGGCTTTTTGAATGATATATTTCCTGAGAGTCCGTCACTCCAACTTCTGTGTCGCTAGCATCGGTTAATTGGAAGAAAAGAGTGGCACAGTCAACGAGCTACAATATTGAGGGCAACGTTGGGGGTCCGGCGAGTGTTCGCTCGCTGTCCAGCGTTCGTGCATTTTAAGGGGATCAATTGAAGTGGCAGCCATGCAGATGAATCCACGGTTGAATGTGCTGCACTACGATGGAAGATCGACGAACTTTTGAAAATCCGAAAGTGTACACGGCTTGCGGCCACTTGTACACGGCCACAATCTTTGCCGGGTCTGAGTCTTCACCCGCTATAGAGATACCAAAGTCTAAGAAGCTAACTTTTTGCATAGAAGCGAACATTTTTGCGATTTCATTAACCTCGATTCCTTGTCTATGACTTGCAGATCACGTCGTACATGTTGTAGGTACGCCAGTACATTCCGGCTAAACATGAGCGCGACATCCACGTAGATTACACTCCAGCATAATGCGTCACCTTGCCGTAGCTTCAGAGAGATCAAATCCACTCCATATCCTATGTCCAGTAGCGCTAGCAGATCCTGTACACGAATACGAACTTTGTTAGGCCCAGAGTTAACTCGAGGAGCATCTGAGTCTGCCGTTGTCCCACATTTTGGCCCAAACGTTGCCCCTCGCATTCGCTGAGGACCGTAGATTTTCACTGATCGTTTTGTTTGATCGCAAGACAGTGCCATTCAAACCCTTGTTTCTTTAACCTCGCTTGTTCATACGCCAATGAAGGGACATGCGACATTGCTTGCTGAAAATGCAGCGGTACCGCGTCGTTCCGATCTTCTGGGGGCAAGATCCCACACTGGATGGGGGCGGCTATCATTTCCTCACCATCAACGAGATCGGTATTCGTATCGTATCCAAATATGTCCCCTCCTTTTTTCGCTAGGGCGATAGATGTGGCATTTTTCCTCGGGTTCGTGGCTAAATATTACCATTGATAAGCATTCCACTATCTTCCCAAGGTCAACCGATTCAATTTGTGGTCCCTTCTCCTCTGCCCACCTGGAGCCGACTGCGTTTTTCGGGCGAGCAGACCCGCAACGAACAGTTGATAAAGGAGCTCCAAATCCATTGTTGCACTTCTTTTTATCAATGCCTGATGCTTTTCAAAACAGTGCTTTGTCGAAATGTTCGCTTGCTTGAGCTTGTTCAAGTCTGCCAGAGGCTCTACCATGTCGACCTACGAATGAACCTGTGTGCCGAAAGCTTCCATACTCCGGATGTGCTTCACCAAGGCAAAACCCTTGCCTGGAAGCAGCCTCCCTTGTCATATTTCCCCCTCTAATAACGAAGATGCCAATAGCAACTGTAGTGCCTCTGTTGCTGTCATGTTAGAGACAAAAATGTAGCTCCTAAGAAAATGCTGCACTGCCCCGGCGTCGGGGCGAACATCATATATGAATGCTCGGCAATGATGGAGTACGTATTCAAGTACATAGACGTTTTTGTTGGGAAAACATGTACCGTTGGGTGAAATGCAAGAATTTCACTTGCTTCAACTTGGCGGGCGCCCAAACGTGAGTCGCCTCAACGCATGAAGGCAAATATTGACGAGTCTATTCTGGAAGAAAAGTAGAGTGCTGGTATTCAGGGAATGTTTTGGGAAAGTTTTAGAAGAATTTTTTCCATATATGTATGATGTATTATTTTTTCTGATGCACACTCGGCATTACCTACTGCTGCGCAACAGACCGCCCTGATGTAGGGTTACGATTCTTTTTGTTCGCACCTGCGGCCAATAACCGTTAGTTGTTACAAAGCGTAGCGCGACCCATTGATGCTATCTAGTTACCCGGGTAAGTGCCAACGGGGGCCAACAATCGCGGATGGTGTTTCTAAGAGCTCATGACCCCCCTCCCCATTCCACCTATCGTGAGGGAAGCGACCGAAAAGCCTGGAACTACGGAAACGGAGGTAGTCAGTCATATGCGTTTCAGCAACGCAACTTGCTGAAACTCAGCCTGCCAGAGAGCACGTGCACCACCTGCAAGAGCAAGGAAGCCATTTTGGGTGTATACTGAATGACTGTAGAGGCTTCTGTGTGCGTTGCTGTTTCCTACAGAAGCCTACTAAGAGTCCATGGGCCAATATCAGACAGGCTTGAGAATGGCGGGCACTGTGCTGAACAGACTGTGCTACATGTGCCAAGATGGGAAGAGATAACTGGACAGTGCAGCACTCGCTTGCGATTGCACCATGACTGCCATGTAGACTACTGGGACTCTACACCCACCACAGTGAGAAATAGGTTACTTGAACCAACTGATGATATTAATATTGCCTGAAGCGGTGCGCAGTGGGTCAACCCACCAAAACGTATATGAACATTTCCACCACACGCTTGCAGGTCCGGCTGAGGGTCCTAAACTGACAAATCACATGGTTTTATGCGCAACATGACGGGAAAAATACTATTCGGGTGTCCTTAAAGCCAACTCGATAGAAGGAAGATTAGGGATTAGGAAAATTGAGCAGGATGCAGGGCACGACATAAAGATCCGTTACACATGAACATGGACATTTCCAACGTGCGCATGCAGGTCTGGCCGATGCTCCTAAACCGAAAACCACAGTCTTTTACAAGCAGCACAGTTCTAAAAGTAGTACTATTGTGTTCTGAAGTCAAGTGGATATAGGGAAGGTTACGTAAAACCGAGCAGGGTGAGCGGCAAGGCCTAGAGTCTCGTAGCCCGTCTCGTCGGCAGTGCGTCTGTAAAACCTGTGCTCTTCTACAGGGGATTTTCGTCTCAAGAGAAAAAGAAAGGATTTGGATGGGGTAACATAGTATTAAGGCCTATACCTGTATCAGTAGCTAGTATATTCTCATTTACCTGCCTTGTTCCCGCTGCTGCGTGACCGCATCTCGAAGCGTGCACAGGAAACTCGGTTTCCTTGGCAGCTTGTGAGCATTTCAGGTTATCCATTCGCTTATCCCTTCGCTTTAAAGGCTTTCCCATATTTCTTGGGGGTCATAAAATTGCTTATTTTCAGCACTCTGTGACCCCCGAGTTATCCATCTGCAATTTACTTCTCCCGTTGAGTTGGGATTTTGAGCACCACATGGCAGCTCTGCAGCCGGAAGGCAACCCATAGCCGCGGAATCAGTCGGCACTTAGTGGATGCAAGTCGATCCTGTATTGCACGGTAGAGTATACGATGGCGAACGAGTTGCTAAGCAAGAAGTGGGGGTCACTGATGCTAGTGTGTGTGACAATATGCTTATGGGGATGCAGTAGTAATCACGTCGCTTCGAGCGATGATGCACAATTCGAAGATCTTGTCGCCGAAGGGGCCTTGAGGCAATTTGCCATGGCGTGGATTTCTGACATACATTTGCAGCCCCTTTACTCCACGCTGCCTTGTCCGGAGGAACGCTGTGGCAAGCCGAGTAGGGAGCCGACCAATTCTTCCGAACCCTCCAGAAGACAATGCCTCGAAATGGAAACTGCTCCTGAGTTGGGGCGTGCGGGATGTGGTTCTTCTCCCAGACTGTTAGATGAAACCCTCAACTTTTTGGAAGGTCTCGTAGCTGAAAGCCACGCAGCAGCAGCTGCAGATCGCCCCCCTACATCTTCTACGGTTTCCTTGGCCGCAAAAGCAGCGTTTACGCACTACCCTTTGCCACCCATTACTACGATCTTGCTCACAGGAGACTATGCACTTTCCGGAAGGGACGTTGATCTAAATTACTTGTAAGCGCCCATCCAAAGCTCCCCTAGACTGGTTCCAGTGCTCCTGTATGATGCCTTCTGACAGCACTGAAGCCAACACGTCAGCCAATATCATTGGGAGTATTGCTGAAAGAGGTGTGCATATTCAGGGAAAGGACTATTAAGGAATTCACAAAGGGCGTCTTTGAGCATTTCCCCCAACAGTCAACGGCACTGCTGCAGGGGCAAGGCCAAATCAATGCGGCAGGAGGGATACAACTTCTGTTAGTCGTGGGGAACCACGACATCCCTTTAGAGGCCCTACTTCCTCCGAAGCGTACAGAGTGGGCAAAAGTGCTTTATGACATCTGGAAGCCAGCACTTCCAGAAGGCGACAAGACTCGTGAGGTGTGCTTTGCGTGCAACATGCCACCATCCTTGCTTTCCTCCAAGTGCATTAGAATGCTGCCTTCTACAGAGGGACAGAAGCACCACCTACTATCGTTTTGTTGACTCGCGGCTTCAGTGGCATTCTTCGGTACGTTTGTGGGCTGCAGACGTTCCTGCGGGGAATGTATTATTCTACAACCCTGCGGTCGGCACCTAAAGTGCGTGTCTTATGCCTGAACACGACATTTTACGCCGTAAAGCTGCGAAAAGCGGTTAAAGCTATTCTCAAATCTGGCAGGTACGAAGCCGGTGGAGAGGATGTCGGTGCACTACTTCACAACGTTGGGGAAGATGAAGCGGAAGAAGCGGACCCAGGTCAGGACATTTTAGTCAAGCTTCTGCTCAAACCTTCTCCCACCTCCTTGTAGATGAGTGACGTTTCAGCTCATATGGTCAAAACGAGATGCTTCTTCGTTTAAACATTTGCTGCAGCTGGGCAGTTTGAGTGGCTGGAGGGAGAGCTCCGCTCTGCGCGAGCACGGAGACAGCAGGTATGAAAGGCAGCTCCACGACTACAACTGAAAGGTTCACGCGTAGATATGTTCCTTGCGGCAGATAGTCTTTTCACAATATTGACTCTGCTAGGCACTTCCAAATGTGGTAGTGAGTTGTACAGAATTCTGGATGCGGTTGCAGCGAGTGTTGAGATGTGCTGCTGTCAGGTCGTAATCTGTGGGCACATCAAGCCTTCGCTGTCTGTGCGATTGAATGAGCTTTCTTATTTTGGTGATAGCTGGGAAAGTCAATATACCGCCAGGTACGTAGGCAGTATAGTGGGGAATTGACTTCATAGAACCTCCCAGCATGCGTAGTAGTGGCAGTCTGTACGTTCTTCCTGTGCAATGCAGGTACAGGGAATTAATTTCAGCGTATTCAGATGTGGTTGTTGCCCAGTTTTATGGACACAGCCATGAAGGGACGATGGTAGCTCTTCTTCCCCCCGGCACCCAACCTTGGAAGGCCGCTGCAACTGCAGGCCCCCGCTGCAACCCCCTCCACCCCAATTTGCCCACAGCTCTTTTCACTATTCCTTCAGTATCCCCCCAGAACGGCAACAACCCAACAATGCGCGTGCTAGTGTTTGATGAAATGCAAGATAATCATCAGCAACCATACGAATATGGAGAACGAAGGGATATGGGTGCCACGTTGGGGGCTTACTTCCTAGCAGACTATGCGCAGTACCATTTACCCCTATACGGGTTTGTCGGGCACTCAGGGTTTGGCAGAACAAATCCAGCCTTCGAATTTGAGTCTTCCTTTCATGACACATTTAGGCCTTTCCTTAGGTGCGCCAAGCCGCGGCAGCCCGGTTTGGAAGATGCAGCAAACGGACGGAAAAACAGCTCCGCTTCCGGGGGCCAAAGATGCATTGATGGATCTACTGCTCTTCAAGTTGCAGAAGCTGTTGGGCGCTCTCCCTTTGCTTATGCTGCCTACAATAACCACCGCTATGCTGGAGGCAAGGACGTTGCAAGCGCAGCAGTCAGCTGCAGCTCGCTAGCTTTGACAAAAGAAGATTTTCTCGAGTGCATTTCCCAGATAAAAATGGCAAAATACGCGGCTTAGGACTTGCAGATTTCAAATGAAATGGCAGACTAGCTGGGGTGTGTCCAGCCTGCTTTCGACAAAAGGCAGCTGGGAATTTCTCAATAGCCACGTGGTTTGCTATTGGATTTTATTGACGCATGCCGATATGCTCTCCTGCCGAGGCCAACAGGTTGTCTCGCAGGCTACAATCATGAGCATACGTCCCTGGATGTGAATGGCAATGATTGCGTATAAATGTGAGTCGCTGATATGTCCGGGGTTTCAGTCCATCCTAGTGGGCTCCTTCCGGTTGAGTCTAGTGTATGAAAATTTAGGGTTTAGGGCTTTAGGCTTTACCGTCGATTGGTGTCAGGTGTACTTCGAGTTTACTGGAGTTTACGGTTGTTGCTGCTACTATTGTAACAAGGACAGCGGCAACGAGCATAACTCCCATAACCTTGAAGAAATGGAGTGTACACATGCCAAACTCACAATATGATTGTGAGAAGAATGCACTCAAGGGGAACTGCTCACAAGCATTTATTTCTGCATCACTGCCGACATAAACTATACACGTTTTGAGGGGCTTGCTAACCTCAAGATAAAGTGGAGTTGTGTCGGAATCTCTGCTGAAGCGAAGCACACCTATGGAGGACGCGTATCTAGCAAAACCTCACTTCGGGCACTTCTAGAATTCGCATCAATATAGATATACCGCCTATCCTATAGCAACAGTTTTCGTTTCTAGAGGAGCTGCTGAGTGCAGCCAATCCACACCAGCGTCGCAGCCGTGCACTCACAGAAAAAGAATGTGAATGAGCAGACAGCATTGGGCAAGCTCCATTCTCTGGCTAATGAAGTTAGTAGAGGGGCAGGGCAACCCAAGTGAAGAAAAAGCCTGGGGAAGTTGTTATATACTGGACAGTGTCCCTTGAGGAGCAGTGGCAGTTTAGGGGGTTCACGAACTCACTAGCTTGACTTATGCGGAGGGATCAGGAAACGAGGGAAGTTCTACAACACTGTAGGGTAACGGCGAATGGGCTGCTAGCTTGCAACCGAATGTAGCAGCAAGACATCTTCCTGGTGCGTTGCTCGACCTGCCAACTACGACCCCATATGGGTTCCGTAGGCTGTGTTAAGGCACGTGTCTAGTAAGGATTAATAAATGGCTGGCTTGAAGGCTCTTCCGAGCGCAATTGTTATTTGTATCAGCTACTGTTCGTTTTGGCATCTATGGAAGAACGGGAGAACACAGCAGGCCTCGCCAGTGGGTAGTGGCTTACAGGGTTTGGCTGGAGTACGCTGGGCTTCCCCTGCGCGCCCCACCAAAACCCTGAAATATTGTAACGGCGCATTCTCCCAGCAGGTGTAGAGAGAACGGCCTTCATGGCTTAACGGCAGAGGATCGCACCACTTCATTATCCCGTGGAACGCCTGGGGATTCACCACCACCAACGTCATGCATCCCTCTAGGCATAGCCACCCGAGGTACCAACGCCGTATTTACTGCCTTGTGGTCTTTAGGCAGATCCCCTCTTCGATCATTCAACAAGACAGGCATATAATCCCTCCTCTGGTACCCATTAGGCAATCGATACTCTGAAGATCCCATTGTATAAACTGTGTCGTATTGAAAAGACAGTAATCTTGACCATCTTCCCTTCAAATTTCGACAGCACTGCAAGCATGTGGCTCACCCAGACAACCCGGTGTCGCAAATGGGGAATTTCGAGGTAGCCTGCGCAAATACCAGGCTGTCCTAATTAATTGTTTTACTAGACATTGACCAATTTGTTTTTGTTTGTTTGGCCCTGTAGTGGGGACTCTTCAACCTCCCGTGATGGCCGTCCACAAAATGCCTGGATGCAACACTGGACCACAATCGGCATCCGTGAAACCCGAGCGTGCATGGAGCCTGCGTGAACCTTGCTTCAAAAGAAACAAAGGGGAAACTATATAATAGGGAAGGTAAGCCGAAAGCTATCTTCCCTTCCAGTGCAAACTTTACAAAATCCCCTGAACAGTCAACCCTTGATCGCCTGGTGGGTCGACCCCCTGGGGGTCGCTTCCCCCCAAAATTGGCCTGGAGGCCATACTGGGCCCCCTCTTCAAGTATTCTGAATATTCCCTAAAATACGCCGGTCGATTCAGTTTCTTGTAATTCTGGGCCATGGCCTACGTTTTTTGTTTATCCTCTCGTAGTTGCGACGTCGCTGCGGCTCCGCCGATGCAGACGGCTGCAATGCAGTCAGCAAGTGAGACCTAAAGGAATACGCTGATATTTAGCACAAAATGGATCCTGCGACGGGATTCACAAATGTGTACAACTCCTTCTGTAGGATGTAAGAAGTTGCCCTTTAGCGGTAATTGTTTCTCCCTCAACAGTGCGAATGGACAGGGGAGAGGACAAGCCGTTGCGCGCCACTACTAAACGGCCAACGCGCAAGAGAAAGCAACGAATAACTCAGAAGGGTGAAGGGGGGCGCAGGAAGTGCAAAAAGGGGAACTTCGTGCCGCAGCAGAAATGCCAGCCTTCACTGACATGGCTACTCCCAGGGGCTGCCAGAGCGCAACGCCGCCCCCTACCTAGGCCAACAAAACCTCCACCGCCAGGCATCACTCCCCAGAGAAGGTACAACGAGGTGTTGCCCTTCCATCCAGCGTTGGCCCAGGCGCTCGTGCATACACGCACATCATTGGGCAGATCCTTTTTCGCGGGACTAACGAATGGTTGTGGGCCTTTGGGTGTCTACTGTTGTACGGTAATATCATCTTTAGGATTGGCGTTTGGCGGCGACTGCGCGAGGGAGGGGACGAAGGGACGGTCGTCTTCGTGACGCTTGAGGGCGAGGTTGTCGCCAAGGTACAGCGCTCCTATGACACTGGTTTGTGACCATCTTTAGCTTGGGGTTATCTGCCGCCGAACAAAATGCCCCGCGTACTCTGTTCAGCTGTGCAAACGTTGATCATTGATCTAATGTGGTCGGCTGGTATTGGAGTGACATGTTACACAGCTGCGTCTGACATTGGCATCTGCGTGCGCTCTTGTCAGCCTTACAGCTACACCGCTGCTCAGCGAGACGAAGCAATTCTTGCCGCCGCAGGTATCCGTGGTAGGTGTAAATTCCAAACGTTTCCAAAAGCTGCTTTGCAGAAGCTCTGAGGGTGGGAAGCGTAGACGGAAATTTCGTTGTTTTTAGGTTGCCTCACTTCCGTGAATATTTGTAAGCGGCCATCTCCTTGGGGATGCAAGTATCTATAAGAATGCGTTCGTTAAAGCTCTTGCTTTCGAAATCTTAGAGGAAATGAATAACTGCTTGCATGCTTGCATGTAAACATTTGTTTCAACGGAAGTATGCAGCTTAGTGAGCTTGCTCAAAGGCATCTCGTTCGTCTCTCCATGCAAATGCACATGCCGCCTATGCACGCGATCTACTAGCAACAAAGGTCTCGACAGGGGGCAAGGCGTCTGAATTCTGTAGCGCCTCGAGTAGGCCAGTGTAGTTTGTAGTGTTTCATTTTGACTGTTCCTCTGCGCTTACGCACTCGTCACATATAGAATCGGTACCTAGTGGCTGTGCCTTCGGGATGTTTTGATAAAGTGAAAGTCTTACAACCGGTGCCCCCGGCTTACGACGGCGGCGCTAGCTCACGTCAGCCAAGCGGTCAGGACGTTATGCAGTTGCGCAATTCTTATGCTACGTCTGCAAGCCTTGAAACGGCACATCCACATGTGACGTGTAGGGGACGCTTGATATTTCTGGCCATTGCAGGGATGCTGCACATTTGTCATGCTGTGCTGAAGACGAATGCTTGATTCCGTTTCGCGTTGCAACCCTGTCCACATGGGACACCGATTAGGCATGTTGATGTGCTTGTGGTCTTTCACGAACAGAAAATTTCATAAGTTCTTCCCAACGAAATTCGCGCAGGCGGCAAATTTGAGGCTGACACCTGGGTGGCGTTGCTGTCTGCTGTAACATTTTGTGCAGGACGCGGCAGAGGGAGCCGCATAGAAGTCCCAGAAAGTATCCCACCATACGCCTTTTCATCTTTGACGAGTAGTGAGCTGGAGCTGCAGTATTGGTGCCTTCCTCCACCTCTTACGAGGCAAGTTTCTGCCTGCAATGTAAACAAAGCTGACTTTTAGCACTCAACATAACGGATTCTGTAGAGTACTTTAGCTTGGCGAGCATGCCGTCAGACTCGACGCTAATCGGAAGCTGAGTGCTGCAGGGCATACGCCTCTCTTGGGGTCAGTAATCTGTACCCGTGGCAAGCACGGTGTCTGCATCTGGCACTGCCTACGAAGCATCATGCAGCTAACCCAGATGGTGAGGGGATCGATTGCCAAGGAGTTTTTAGGCCACTTTCCGTTGGTGCTTGTTGCGTAGTGAAGGAACTGTATAGCGGTGAATAACGCGTTTTGCAGAATGCGGTCTTAACGTTTAGCTGATTCGTTCCTGCAGGACCTGCAGCTGCTTCGTGGAGATCTCTGGTGTACTGCGCTCCCACATCGGGCGGAAAGAGCCTTGTGGCGGAAGTCTTGATTTCTCGGTGGGAAGACAAATGCGAAGCTGCTGGCACCCTTGACTAGCAGGCCCAGTTGGGGCATGATTCCACTTCGCGGGGCTCTTGTCCAGTGGAGCACTGGTATGTGCATTTGTGCTTTGCCTTGCAGACGTCTTTTGTTTGAGGGAGTGCGTTCGCTTGTTGTAGTGCCGCATGTCTCCCTCTGTGCGGAAAAGGTCCAGCACCTGCGTCATCTGTTGGGCCCGTTGACGTTACGAATCGAGGCCTTCCACGCTGGAGCCAGTGAGCACAAAAGCTACAAACAGTGCACACTTCAATGCACATGAAATATATCCTTAATTTCGAGTGTACACAAAGGTTGGGGAGGCAATAGCAGCAGGAGTCTAAACTGCATCACTTCCTGCCCACCGGTTCCACATCAGCGTATCTGTAATTCAGTTTTAGCATGAAGGACAAAAGAGGCAGTGAATGTCAGCGATGTTTTCCGCAGATGTACCGTTAAAGCTGTCCTGTGCTGTGGAGTAAACAGATGCCGCGTCGAACTGGTACGCAGGAATAGATGTGGCGGTCTGCACACTGGAGAAGGCTAACATGATAATCAACAGGTGCGGCCTTGTGATTGCCTACCTCTGGAACACAACACTATTTGGAGGGCTAGCCACGAAGGGCTTTACTTTCCGTAAACCATACAGCTTGGCTGAACCACTTAACTGCCGCTCTGACGCAAACCATTGTGGGTCACTGCCTAATTGGCCTGCCCACTTCAACTGGCGACAATTTTGAGGTCGTTCTGCAGGTTGGTGCTGGACTTGCTAGTCCCCGAAATTGCAACGGCGGAGAGCACCGGTGACAGCCCGGAGCCGCCGGTCGAATGTAAGGTACCGGGGAAAAGTTCTTTTTGCGGCCCACAGGATGAGGTTTGCTACTGGGCAAGCCAGTGCTGGGACAGCGTGTGTTGCCGCATGCCTGTCATTGGGGAGCATTTTCCCGTTGGGCTGGTGTGCGTCGACGAACTTCATTTCGTTGGAGATCCCCAAAGGGGCCACCTCCTCGAAATGCTTCTAGCGAAGCTGGTTTTTATAAATCGGTCCCTTAAGCAACCGATTCAGCTGGTTGGCATGTCCGCCACCCTCCCAAACGCCCCGCAAGTACGCTGCCAATTTCGCCGCTGATGCGCAGCAAGCTACTTCCTCAGTTTTGAGTAAGCGGCGTCTTCATACCTATATCGACCTGGCGACCTGTGATCGCTGCGTCCTGCAATGCTCAGGTTGCCAAGTGGCTGGGTGCAGAGGTTTTCGTCACCGACGAGCGTCCTTCCCCTCTAGACATCTTCGTAAAGATCGGTCCAGAGGTCAGTCCCACCACTCCCCTGCTGTTGCCACCAGCAACTCATCCAATATTGCAGAGAAAGGCTGTCAAATACCCGGTGCAGTTGTGTTGTGCATGTGCATATGCTACGCTCTACCTGTTGTAGGTATTTGCGTGGGACAAAGCTGCAGGATTGCAGATTACGCGTAAACTCCATGATGGGTCCCTTTCTTTGCCCCCTGTCGGGGAGGCGGCAACCAGCGCTGCAGCCCAGTCAGTGCGGTTGGCTGCTTCTCAGTACGCTGCTGTTTCAACTGGATCACTAACTGCTGGCGCAGAGCTCGCAGACAGCGCGGAGGTGGTCGCAGATCACGCTTCAATTGCTGCTGCAGCTCTGCGCATTATAAGAGAACAGGCCGATGCCTCCCTGCAGCCGCCTTCCCGTACTAGGGGTGGGGTTGAACGAGCCACGGAGCCAAAACAGGCCAACTCAGAAGGAAGTCGCTTTGGGTGGCAGGCCGATGCTGAACATTTGGGGATGCTGACGTGGGAAATGTTGCGGGAAGGCCGCAGAGTCATAGTCTTCTGCCCGACTCAGGAGTGGACAGCCCGCACAGCATCGTTCCTCGCTAAGTAGGGGGAAACAGCACTTGAGGAACTCCAGCCTGCCTATGTTCTAACTAATCAAATAAGCTATGTCACCGTTCAAGGTCTGCCGTCCATTGTTTCTCGCTGTGTGGGTTAGTGGAGAAAAGCATCATTGCCCTTGGTTACGCGCAGGGTTTTGCCATTCTACCGACGAGCGGAAGCATGGGCTGACCTGGTCAGACAACGTGCTGTCTTATATCTCAAGAACAAAGAGTTGGAGTGCCCAAGTGCGGCACATCCTCATCGCCAGGAGCAACAGGGCGTTTCAGATGTGCATCAGGGGGGCATGAACTGCCCACTGCAGCAACAGAAGCTAGCAGAGCGAGAAGCAATTAAGGAGCTGCTTGCTATGCCAGTTAGTATGCTTGCCCAGTTGTTGGTGCAAAGCCCTCACCTGTTTGTTGACCCTGAAAGCATCAGAGGACGTGAAGAGCTGCAGTGGCAACTGAGGGAACTTTCCCTTATTCATCCAACAACTATGCTGGCGGCAGTTAGTGAGGGGGTCGCCTATCATCACGCCGGTAAGCTCGGCTCTGCTAACTCTCTCTTTCTCTGCCTCTCCCTTCGACTTAGCCTTTTGGCATCAACCCATGTGCATCTTGCTCCCCTTGCTCCACTCGCCCGACGAGTCTACAATGGTTGGCTCCCTCTGGCTTTTAGGGTTTTTGGCAGGTGCAAACCATCATATGAATCCAGTGGACTGCTTTTCATATATTAGGCTTGAGTGGTGAGGAGCGGGCGTTGCTGGAGGCCGGATTTCGCAGAGGCCACTTGAATGTGTTGTGCGCAACGTCGACACTTGCTCTAGGAGTCAACTTGCCGGCTGCTCGCGTCATAATTCGTGCTCCGCACGTAAGTTCAGCTATTTCGTAAGTGAATTCTCTGCATATGATCTTATTTGAAGTGCTTAGAAGGCCCCACTGCACCATTTACGTTTTCTCCGTCTAGTGGGAAACGTAGTTCCTGGTCGCGTGAGTACTTCCAGGCTCCCGTTGGTTTCCGCTACTATGAATGCTGCCGTTTGGTGCGGATGTTTGGTTTCCTGAATGCCAGTTAGGAAGAGATGAGCTCTTGTCTCCCGGCCGCTTCCACCAGATGGCCGGTCGTGCGGGTCGGAAGGGGCTTGAACATGGGTAAGACACTCCGGAAAGTAGATGGAACTCCAGTGCAGTAGAACACCGCGATGTTATATAGCACTTAGGATCCAGACTGTATTTGGGCAAGAATAACACAACTTCGAAGACTTTGCAAAAGCCAACAGCCTGAGTGGCAAGAACACTGTAAGAAAGGCAGTAATAGAATGAGGGACACTGAGCAGTCAGAAGGTTCTTTGGTTCTGTGCAGCTGTCTGCTGTTTTGAATCTTGCGCTACCTACTTACTCCCATTTCTCCTTTGCAGGGGGGACGCATACTTGATTTGCTCCCCTGCCAATCTGCCACACGTTCGGAAACTCTTAATGGCCGTCGCTGTAGCGGATTCATCTGGATGTAGGGCCTCTGATACTAGCCGAGGCGATTCAGAAACGAGTTCGCAATTGAAAGGACAGCATCTCTGTCGTTTTTTCCTTGAAGCTGTTTATGTTCTTCTTCCCCTAGTTCGTAACACCAGGGAAACTTCACGCACGGCAGCCAGCGGTGCTTTCGTTGACGTTGCAGCTATTTTGCTAAATTGTACCCTCCGAGGCCACCAGGTACAACTGATGGCGCCTAAGCTGTTGCTGCTGTTGTAGCTCCTTTTGGGGGCTGTGAGACGGTCGTTGTTGACGGTGCTTCCACGAGGTGCATTCACATTTATTCACCCATGCAGTTCCGTTGTACTCTCCTTCGCCGCAGGATCCTCACAGGATGCTTGTGGAGGAAGCTGCAGAGGCTGCTCGCTACCTGCACACATATTACCTGGTTGAAGCTGAATGCAGTGGCACATCACTCTCCGTCCACTGTGACGGACCAAATACTGGCAAAAGCAATTCCGGCCGTTCCGCATTCGAACGGGAACCACAGTTAGGAATCGGTGCAAGGACGATAACAGCATTGGAGTCAGCCAACGAGTCACACAAGTGTGTTGCCGGTGGAACGTTTGTCCCTGGCAAGCGCAGCCACCCGATGCGGTCTCTCGCTTTCCCTTCCTCATGCTTGCCAGCCACCAGCAAGTTGTTGCTTCAGCAGTATCCCTGTCTCCGTTCACCTGTAGTCGTGGCACGGATGCTGCAAGGATGTGGCATGAGCATTGTATCCGCTAAAACATCTTCTGGAGCCTCGGGCATTCCCCAGGAGCTCCACGAGGATTGTTGCGACAGTGCCACGGCGGTTTCTTGCGTCCCTTCGTCATCGGCATCCTTACTTAAGGGTGTGGGTATCGGCCAAACTCATCAGGCAGAGTCGACCTCTGGATATGAGGCATTTGGGTCAAGCATTTGCCTTCACTTCCGCGGTCTAAAGGACTTAGCTGCACAGTTATGCGGGGTTGGCAGCTCCGTTGGTGGCTTGAGGGGGAATGAACCAGGAGACCAGGGATTGAACTGGAAAGACGTAGGGGGCCGGATAGCCGTAACAGAGGTCGGAGGTGCAGCAGTCGAGGCTGGGATTGCGCCATGGGAAGCAGCTGAAATCTTTGCTGACATTTTCAAGACGAGTATTTTGGGTTAGAGTAGCCGTAACCACTTGGAGAGGAAACAACTAAAACATGCAGCAAGATACGCATTTGAAGGCCCCCTCAGAAGCGCGTCATGAACACCGGTTTCTAGCTGTTTGCATGCCTCAGGCCTTTGCGCGGACACAGAGCTCCACCTTCTCTTTCTTGCGGCCGTCGCAGTGGGGGGCGAAATGCAACCAAACTGGCACTCGTATCTCTCCGTCTACGACAAGCTTGACCCAGCTGGCAGGTGTGTTTCTGCAGGTCGATAGGTACTGTACACTGGTGCATTTAAAACCGAAACGCCAGTCTTACCAGGCGTCGTTAGGTCCGTTTTTAAGATATTATACGGCGAGTGCTTTATAGGAACGGCTGTATTCAGGCGGGTTGCCGAAGCGTTGGGTATTCGGCGGATGGTTATTTCCAGAGAGGCCATAAAGGCACAAGGAGTACCTCGTCACTGCATCAACGACACTGCTGACCTCCTGCTTCTTGAACAGTCAGCCTCGCTGTTTCCCCATCACCCTCCCACTGGCTGGTGCTCAGACGGCGCTCTTGAAACAATTTAGAATGGAACCGACAGTCTTGCGGTCTGAATTCTGCTGCTTTGAATAATGCTCAGGCTTAATTTCACCCAGCTACGAAGACGCGTCGAGTTGGAAGCCCACCGTCGCTTTTTCTTTGCCCTTCTGTTGCACGACGTGTACCGAGAAGGCACAGCTTACCAGAGTGTAATGCGCAGGCAAGTGAATGAACCAGTAGCAGACTACAGATTTATAGACAATACCTTAGCTTCTCGTTATGCAGGCTGTCGAATAAACTTGCGTATCCTACCAGACTGTCATGCGCAGGCAAGTGAACAAGCAGAAGACATGCTGTAGCATTTTAGACGGTGCCCTACTTTGCCACCACGTTAGCTTTCTGACAAATACAGCAACACAAAATATGTTAAATATGTTGCTGTGGCAACGGCAAGATGCGCTTTTGCAGGTTTGGTATCTCGCGAAGTGCACTGATGGCCTGCGCAGCGCAGGGTGCGCTTGTCGCGGCCACCGTCGCCTCATTCTTGCGCATTCTTCGTCCTCAAGAGTGCGCAAGACTAGTGTTTCGGGGTAGTGCAGCACAGTGCATGTTGCTTGGGAAGTTGTCAGTAGCACGCAGCAATTCGATACGACGTTGATGTTTTAGAGACTGAACGTAAAACTCGCCATGTGGTTTTGGCTATCTGCCTTTCAGGGCGGCGTTATCGGAGATTTGCTTCGTACTGGCAGGGAAGCTAAAGCTTGCCTGTTCACCTGCTGGGGCACTAGCTTCCGCCTTGACAGACCCTTCTCGTCAATGCGGACGCAATCACGAAGCTATTCGCAATGAAGACGATGGGGGCCCAGCTGCACTCCAACAGCTCCTGCAGCTAGACGGCATGACCCCGAGACGCGCAGCCGCTCTTCGCGCTGCTCAGATATACACATGTGCCCAGGTTGCCAACACACCACTGTGTGATCTATATAAGGTCAGCAACACTCGCTGTCCTCCTTGAAGTCCTCTCGCGGGATATCATGCCCTAGTGTTATTGTATGTTCTGCGCAGGCATTAGAAGCAGCAGAACCCGCCCAACTTGCCCCCACAGAAACTGCGGCGCAGAGTGACCAGAAGGTTTGGGGGCCAACAAATTCCCGACTGCGCGCACGATTGTTGACTGCCAGCGTGAAACTCAAAGATGCAGCGCAGAAAGAACAAGAGATGCGGATGCAGGTATACCTATCCCAGATGGGAGATTTATCCATTGGCAATGACAACGAAATATGTTGTTCACTGCATGCATTAGGGCTTCGTTGCTATGGATTGCATTCGTAGGCGCTGGAGGATGAAGCGGCGGGGCACTGGTCGTTGATAAGGAAAGCCACCAACAGTTCGGGAGATGAAGATGACTGAGTACCCGTCAGAATCCACAGTTGTATCCGGAGGTTGTGGGCGGACGTTTTTGTACTTTTCTTACGCGATAGAAAGGAAACATGCAACATGGTAGCAATTGACGACGGTGGCTACGTATTCTACGGTCTCTGTAGGAAAAGGCGGTAAATGATTGCCACTAGTACAGAGGCTAGTTAGTAATGTAAGAGAATCCCCTGGCTGAATCTAATCCATTGAGCTGATTGTCGCGAGGAACAAGACGTGCAATACATTTTCAGCACTTTCAAATGCGTGGTGTCGTCCACAAACGTGAAAATTGAAAGCATTCGCAGCATGAGGTTTTGGAAAGTTCTAGAAAGCGAGAATGTGGCACGGTGGGCTGATCCCTGTGCTCTGCTGGCTGGTGGAATCGTAGATCTGAATTCCTCTCAATGAGTGGAAGCCTGTGGTCGCAAAATGGACCCCGACGAGCCTGTACGTACTGCCTACTCAGCAGCAGCGTTGACTCAGAGTCAGTCTACGTCACCAGCAAGAAGTGGAAGGAGTCATGAGAAGCAAGGGAACAACATTAAGCAACGCACCTGGTTGGAGGCAAAGCATTTCGAAGGAAAACCTTTTTGAAGACCGGGGACCGAGAGGCCCGAGGTTCTGCGAAAAACAGCGGCATTAGAAGAACAAAGGTTCCACAAAGCTAGCGAAGGGACGCATCACTCAACGCTGCAACAGAGCGAAGCGCTAAATTACCAGTTGCTTGGGGCCTTCTAGAACAAAAGGCTCGAGTTCCGAGAGCTTAACGCAGAGAATGAGTTCCAAATCCGTCTGCAGCCTGTTGATGACCTCCAGCTCCACGGTGAATGGATGGTCGACCTGCATTCACAAGAGGCTGAGTCCTTATGAACTTGCATCCAGGCACGTATGCCCGACTGGTGGGTTGTTGGTTTTTCTTCCTAGGCAGCCAGTGGAATTAGCGTCTTCTCTCATACCTGGATTGAAGAAGGGAAATCGACTAACCGCATTTCAAGCGGCTGCATGGGCTTTGGCGCATTCAACAGCTCATAGTCGCTGAGTGTCCCAACTCCTCCCGTTGATGTGCGCCACTGTAGTGTTAGCGTCCCAAGATTTGGAATGTGCTGCACCAAAACGGATGCAGGGCTGTATGCAAAGCATTCTAAGATGGCATAGCTCACAAATATATCATAACAAACTCTACTGATTAGTGCCAGGGAAGCACGCCAGAAGTGCGTTGCCTCTGCATGCTTGCCTTTGGCAAGTTTTCTATATGTGACTGAGGGTTCGAAGGATAGAGCGAGAAAAGCACGGCGTAGCAATCTTTCGGTCGGAAGTTATGAATTCCCTTGCAAAAGCTGTGGGCACATAACAGGAAGGACGTAGAGTGAGTGAGCAATTCATTAGGACTTGACGAAATAGGTAGCCGCCTGTATGATATCTATACATAGCTGCACATTCAGTTCTCTCCAGAAGAGCCACCCTTCGCAATGCGCGAAAACTCAGTGGCCACCAGCAAAACAGTGGTGGGGCAGGGCCTCACGAATCGGCAGGCCCGGAACATTCCAGGCGTGTGCATTCTAAACCCTCAGCGCAGAGGATGGAGGCCTCGTTGAGGAATACATGCTGCTGAGAAACATTGGTGAGGGTGCACTCTACAAGAGTTTTGTCCTGAAAGCAAGTGGCACGAGGGGGGAGGAGCGACACTGAGACACGCTATGTGCCCAACACTTCCAAGAGATGTCCTTCGAAAAGATACGACTACTTCAAACGTTCGTACTTGCAAGTGTGTAATGCGATGAGCCGTCTTGAAGGGGCTTTGAGCGGTAAACCTGAACGATTTCTTGAACGATTTGGGCTCGATAGACGAAGCAAGGTAGTGCGAAATAGAACAGACAAGCCTACATAACGCTCCCGTCCGAACCCGCACATTCAGCAGCGATTCAGCAGCGCTATATTTAACAATAGTTCCTCAGAGATCCCAAAATAAGGAGTACTTACATGCAGGTTCCTGACTCCTCAATCTGGTGCTGAATAGTGCAGTCAAATGAATCTTCAGGGTTTAAGCTCCGAACCGGATCCTCCGAATTGTCGAACAGGAGATGACGTGAATTCCCGAGGAATAGTTCGACCTGTCCAAAGAAACATCGAGAAAGAAGCGTGTTCTATATAATTGCTGCGCATGTGGGTAGGCCAAAGCCAGCGCACGACGGACTTGCAGCTTAACGTTGTTTGCCTGAATACTTGATACATTTGCAATATTGAGGTAGGCCGAAAATGTCTCTCCACTGAACACACGCCTGGTTTGCATGCAAAGAAACATACACACACAAAGCACCTGGTTCGGAGACTGCGTGCTTTTTGAATTTGTAGAGTGGGGCAGCTCCAAGATTGCTAGTGGGTCAATGCCTCACCCCTGCGTTATGGGAAGAAGAAGAGAGTGCGCGCTTGACAGCCACTTCTCGTTCACTGTCTCTTCTGCTCTAGCTAGAGAGGCATCCAGATCGTCACGTGCTAGATCCCTCAGAGAAATCAACGGCCAAGGGTTTGATTCCCACGACGGCTGTGAGAGCCGCATGACTTTCTGCAAGACACAAAGTCATCTAAATGGATAGAATGCTCGCTACAGGGGACTGCAATCATTGATGCTTGCGAAATCATCATTGCTCACCAAAGAGAGATATTCTCTATCTCCCGTCGCCATTGTGATTTCCGCACCATGCCGCTGGCCTTGTTGTGCGTCTTTCGCACGAAGTATAGATAACGTGCTATTTTTGGTAAGTAGGCAGGTAGATTTCAGTCATGTAACATATTATTCCCGGTTAAGAGCCGACAAGTGGCTGGGCAAGTGTACGGGATGTGACGACCCTATACGCAAGACCATACAATCCAATTTCAGTTACAAAGCTCATGATGTTTATAAAATAAATTTCCGTTGTTCTGCAGCGTAGGACGCCCAAAATCGTACTTGACTAGACGGCAACCGACTACCACTATGTGCATGCGATGCAGATTCTGCAGCTCAACACCTACGAAGGTGAATGCTGCGCGACGCAGGCGCAGCGAAACAGCTAGCTTTCAAGCCTTCTAGTAGGCATATTTAATGATTGTAATCTAGATTTTAAGGTGTGGTCCCAAATGCATCAACGCTTCATGAAGGATCCCTCGTGTGCTGAGGTAACCGGTCCAGTTCACTGCTTGTGGTTGTAATATCCAACGCACTCAAAGACCTCGGAAGGAGTAACCAAGAGTCAAAATTTTGCGAAGTTTAGGGCGTTTACACTTTTGGCAGTTCATGGGTGTCTAACGTTCTTAAAGTGTTTCAAATTCACATTTTGAGGATGCGTACCGCGGTGTCATTAAGACACCCAACTCAGAACAACCTCGGGATAGTTGGTAGTGTACAGACACTTCATGAAACCACCAACAGCCACTTGCCGCTGGCTGCGCCAGAGTTTTCCAGAGTTCACCACCCTGGACTCGATTGAACAATATTTCCCCTCTTCAGTTCCGTTCTTCCTGCCAAGATGAGGAACGCGGCAAGTGTTGGTCTTTGCGTTGGACTCTCCGCGATTGGAGCCCTGGGCAACGACATTCTTAAGCCAGAGGCCGATTATCGAGATTTCCGGCATTATCAGCTTAGCAATGGCATGCACGCCATAGCTGTGCATCACCCGCGATCTAACGAGGCAGGCTTTGCTGTGGCGGCGAATACTGGCAGTTTGTACGATCCTGAAGATGTACCTGGTCTGGCCCATTTCCTGGAACACATGCTGTTCCTTGGTACGTCAAAATATCCGGAGCCTGAGAGCTACGATGGCTTCCTAACGCAGAACGGAGGGGCGAACAATGCGTATACCGATGAGGAGAAAACGGTTTTCTTCAACAAGGTCACGGACAGTGCTTTCGAAGAGGCGTTAGACCGATTTGCTGAGTTTTTCAAATCCCCTCTCTTCAGCCGCCAGTACGAAGAGAAGGAAGTTAACGCAATTGACGCAGAGCACCAAAAGAATATCCCGAACGACGACGAGAGAGCGTGGTACACTATCCGCTCTTTGGCAAAGGGGCCTATGTCCCGATTTGCTACTGGAAACTCGGAAACGCTGAGCACCAACCCCAAAGCAAAGGGGATCGACCTGGTTGATCGCCTACGGGATTTCCACAGCAAGTATTACTGCGGATCAAACATGGTACGTCTAGACGTATTTGTACTTATCGACTACATGGACAATGCCCTATTATGCTTCAGGTGGCTGTCACTATTTCCCCCCGTTCCCTTGATGAACAAGAGTCACTAATAAGGGAGAAACTTGAAGGTAAAACATTTTTCCATTGTGTACTGAGGCCAATCCCTTATTGTGTTTCTAGGCATATCTGCCGGGCATGCTGACTGGCTTGGAATGGTCCAATGCCCCGGGCCCATGTTCGATACCGTCAAGCCTTTCGACCACACCAACAGTGGAAAGTTCATCCACATGCAAAGCTTCTCGTCAGAGCCTAGTCTCTGGGTTGCGTTTGGCCTTCCAGCAACGCTTACCTCTTACGTAAGTAGCGCAACTTGATATCCAATATTGCCAAGTGGAATATACGCACACTTCAGAAAAAACAACCAACCAGCGTCCTTACATACCTCCTCGAGTACACTGGAGAGGGATCATTGGCAAAGCGCCTCCGCCTGCTAGGGCTTGCTGACGGAATATCCCCTGCTGTGGACAGGAATTCCATAAGCACCCTGCTTGGAATAAAGGGTAAGGAGCCTTAATCGACGACTTGCTGTTAAGATTTGTACATTCTGGCACAGTGGATCTGACCCAGAAGGGGGCGGCGCATCGCGGGCTTGTATTGCAGGAGATATTTTCATACATCAACTTCCTGAGAGACCACGGAGTTGGCCATGAATTGGTCTCTACAATGGCCCAGCAGTCACATATCGACTTTCACACAACACAACCCAGCTCATCGATAATGGACGAGGCGGCGCGCCTTGCTCACAACCTGTTAACATACGAGCCGTATCATGTTGTTGCCGGGGATTCGTTGTTGATAGATGCAGACCCTCGACTGACGAATCAGCTCCTCCAAGAGATGTCCCCGTCCAAAGCTATCATTGCTTTCTCTGATCCAGACTTTACTTCAAAAGTGGACTCTTTCGAAACAGATCCTTACTACGGGGTGCAGTTCAGGGTGCTCGATCTGCCACAGCATCATGCAGTAGCCATGGCCGTCTTAACAGCCTCACCAAACGCTTTCCGCATGCCTCCCTCTCTCATGCATATTCCCAAGGCTTCCGAGTTAAAGATCCTCCCTGGTCTTCTTGGACTCACAGAGCCAGAACTCATCAGCGAGCAAGGGGGAAACGCAGGGACTGCTGTATGGTGGCAGGGGCAAGGTGCCTTTGCCATCCCCAGGATCACTGTGCAGCTAAACGGAAGCATTTTAAAAGACAAGGCAGACTTGCTATCTCGGACACAAGGTTCCCTAGCCCTTGCCGCCATTGCAGAGCATCTGCAAGAGGAAACGGTGGATTTCCAGAACTGCGGCGTCACCCACAGTCTGGCCTTTAAGGGGACTGGTTTCCACATGGGATTCGAAGCCTATACAGAAGGTCAGCTAAGCAAGCTCATGGAACACGTGGCAAAGCTCCTGAGCGATCCCTCAATGGTGGAACCGGAGCGCTTCGAGAGGTAAGACAAAGCAATGCCATTACGTAAATTCCCCAAGGTTAAAGCGTCGATTCCAGGATAAAACAGAAACAGATGAAGCTTGTCGCTGATCCAGCTACCAGCATGGCATTTGAACACGCTCTTGAAGCTGCAGCGATTTTAACACGGAATGACGCTTTTAGTCGGAAGGATTTGCTCAACGCTCTTCAACAGACTAATTACGACGATTCTTTCGCCAAACTCAACGAGCTCAAGAATGTCAGTAAAACACTAGAAGCTTCCAATTTGTTCACGTGTTGACCTTTTTTTTTTATTCAGGTTCACGTCGATGCATTTGTCATGGGAAACATAGACCGAGATCAGTCGCTCACCATGGTTGAAGAATTTCTGGAACAGGCTGGATTCACCCCTATTGATCATGACGATGCAGTGGCGTCTCTTGCAATGGAACAGAAACAGACCATTGAGGCAACCCTGGCAAACCCCATCAAGGGCGACAAGGACCACGCCAGCTTGGTTCAGTTCCAGCTTGGTATTCCTTCCATTGAGGACCGTGTGAACCTTGCCGTCCTGACCCAGTTCCTCAACCGTCGCATATACGACTCACTTCGCACGGAAGCTCAGTTGGGATATATTGCTGGAGCCAAGGAATCTCAAGCTGCCTCAACCGCACTCCTCCAGTGTTTTGTGGAGGGCGCAAAAGCACACCCTGATGAAGTTGTGAAGATGATTGATGAAGAACTATCGAAGGCAAAAGAATACCTTGCTAACATGCCCGAAGCTGAGATGGCTCGTTGGAAGGAAGCAGCCCATGCAAAGCTCACAAAGATGGAAGCAAACTTCTCCGAAGATTTCAAGAAATCTGCTGAGGAGATTTTTGCTCACTCGAATTGCTTCACCAAAAGGGATCTGGAGGTCAAGTACCTGGACAACGACTTCTCTCGAAAGCAACTTCTGCGCACTTTCGCAAAACTCTCCGATCCTTCAAGAAGAATGGTGAGCACATACATTTTTGCCAGAAGATAATTAATCTAACACATTGGGAACTTTAGGTTGTGAAGCTGATTGCCGATCTCGAGCCCGAGAAGGAGGTCACCCTAATTGGCGAAGCGAAGGCTCAAGATGCAGCCCTTCTGCGCCGTGGTGATACCAGTAAGATTATATTTTGGACACTGTTGCCTTGAATTCTATAATCAAGAGATTTCACCAGCTGAAGAGGTGGTGAAGGCCCCGACGAAGCTTCTCAGCCTCGAGGACAAGTTCGTTTCGCAAGTGCAGGAAGCTAATGGCTACTTCCCGGATGTCTCCGTGTGTGAACTACCTCCAAGCCTTCTCTCACTATTCGAACTTTTGGAGGACCTCTGAACTAAATGATCATGCTGCTATTGCCGATGATCTAAACAGAGATCCTCTACCTTTCCACTTCATGGAAAAAACGTTTTTTAACAGTTAATCGGTTTTTTTTCCACGCTCTACGACGTTGCTAAAAACATGTTCAGTGATAGTATGGTTGCCCTAGTATTAATGAAAAAATGAGCAGTCGAATAATAGAATTCAGAATAGATTGCTCAATTAGATAATTTGGTAGCAAGTAGAGATGTGTCGCGTAGCAATGGAAGCAAAGAGCGCTGTCTGTTAAGCCAATTGCCCATTACATAAACATTTCTAACCACCGTCTCCCTTCAGCTTGTCCAAACAGGATTTCCACATCTACATAATTAAGTTTCCTAAGGCATGGTATGAGATTAGTGAAGACAATGGGGAAATAGCTCATTTCCAAAAGTTGGCGGGCTCTGGAAATGCCGTTGATAAATCCCCTGGTGATAATCGATGCGGTGTGCACTGAAAACACGTTGCTTGCGCTTGCAATTTGTAGCAACCTTAGAACGTTGGGGAGCAATTTGTAAAGTACAATTGGAGAAACAGTAAATAGTCCGGTATATAACCATAGCCTGGAAGAAAACAACAAGCTTCTATATTATGTTACGCATTTGTAACTGTGAGAAGGTGAGTATTTCACACGATGGCCTTACGAAATCTCTAATTGCTGTCGGATATTCCCCCAATCTGAGCAGATCTCTATTTAGTGGGGACGTTTTAGGCGTAGAATGTTGCCAGTGACTATTGAATGTTCCACTGTTATAATTTCGCGATTTTGTATAGTAACATATCAGCGTTGTCTGCCGTGATTATTATGGGTACTGGCTTCGTGTTATGAACCTCACCGGGTTGCAGATGGCAGTGGAGTACTCAGTGTGGGAAGTCGTCCAGAGAACGAGGAAGTGTGAATAGTTGATTCCCCAGGTTCTGCTCCACGTGAAGGAAAAGCAGAAGAGCTAAGCAAGAATCTGCTTCCGGTGATGCCGCATGAATCTGGGGAATTCTCGCTTAGCTCCTCTGCTATTCCGTCCCGTGGATCATCAATATTAACTTGAGGGAAAGTAAGAGAAAAGCAACATAGGTTCCAGCCAAATTTTCTTCCTTCTTTGGTTGGTCGGTCGTATGGGTTAGAGGTAATCACGATGCCATTGCACCGGAGGACTTCAGGAAGAAGTATGGGGGGGAAATTTATACGGGAAATAACGTGGGATACCACAGCTGATCTCTTTCCAGTGGGGGAAAAGCTCTTTAGGCTATAGTCCCTTTCCTCGTCGCAACCTGCAGTGCGGCACACGGTACTCTGCAAAACCTGGATGCAAAGTTTATCCTTGCCGGTTGCTGTTGTGCCGATGAGTTCAGTGGCAGAGCGTAGGGGAGGCCCCCTGACGAAACACTCAACATAGGTGTGAATCAATTGGAGTTCTAAAAGCTTCTGGAAGCTAGCATACGCAGCCTCAGTCTTCGCTACAATGTTAAGGCCAATCCAAGAATCCTCAAGGTGAAATATAACGCCGAAATTGTGCTGTCGAGAAGAAAGCAGTGGAAAGTATTCTCCAGGATGTTGACCTTGGAGAAAGGTGGCAAGTGATTCGGCGCAGGCCAATTCATAATTGCCATCTACATTGGTGTCCGTCTGCTTCCTTTTGCACATGGGTGAGATGCACAGCGGCTTCTTCACCACCCAGTAGGCTTTCTGTTCATCAACTACTGTTGGTCTTTCCCATGTGTGGGGGCAGGAATGGCCGTGAGGAAATCTAAGTAGCACATTACCGCTACAGACTCTGCGGCGGTTTCTTGAAATACTGGCATACGAATCAGTAACCTCCGATGAGTTGGTAATGTTAACAGGCTGCCTCGCAACAGCATTCAGAGGGAAGTACCCTTGCCTTCCCATTTTCTTACCTGCATTTCCTTTTAGTTGATCTAATAATAAATTATCACACAGCGATCGGCATGAAGTAGACATTTTCTTATCTTTTGAAGAACCTCTGTGTGGAGGTTTTGAATGGTTTACCCCATTACCACATTGAAGACGTGGGAGGGCCAACGAAGGGATTGATGGCTCAACGTTGGATAGCAAAGGGCTTCCATTAAAAGGTGTTTTGATACTGTTCATCTTTTTTGCAGTAATAATAGAGGTTAATGTGCAATTCACCAGCGTTTTCACGCGTAGCGTATGAAGACGAGTGAACAAGAACTGCCCGAAGTAGCTGAGCAAGGTCACTTTGAGGAAGAGCTTCCTCAGTTTCATACAGGTTCGGGCTACTCCTGGGATTGCGACAAGATCAAGAATCTGTAAGGATTCGAGGATGGTGCAGAGTTTCTTCGTTAAAACTATAAGCGGAAGCCTTCAGAGCTGCAAAGTGGAGCATGCATGAATTAGCAAAACAGCGAGCACCTCGGCGTGGAGCGCAGGTGTTCAAAAAAGTGCCGGGAATGTTGCGAGGAACCCAAGCTCTATTTTGAGGGCTGTTCATGTTCCGTTATCTGGTAAATGCTTGGCATTTTCTATCACTTGTAACGTTTGCGGCCCACAATTCGAAATGTCTAGTTGTACTTCCTCATAATATTTAATCAAGAGCAGCGTTCTACCAATTTTTCTGGAGGTCTTTTCGTACTCATTCAGAGCTGCACAGCAGTTGATAGACTCCTGACGCTCAGTCAACGCTGTCCGTACACTCGAATTTCCGGTCTGCCAGTCATCGGCTACAGCATTTTCATTTTGACTGCTAGCCATAATTTCTCACCTTGGCTTACCTCATATAACTGAACCCACGAACAGCCAGGTACAATGCGTTCCCTTCTGGTCGTGGCCGGCCTAGCTGGCTGCAGTTCTTTTGTGCCAACCGACGCAAGACATCGGTTTCTGAGTGAAACACTGGAAGAACCTGAAGATGTGATGCTGAAGACGGCAGATCTTCATACAAACCTGCTACGGGAACCCCCCATGACGATCAAGCTAGACAACAGATACAAATTTACTGGTCTTGGAGAGCTTGTTTCACAGCTGATCGACCATCACACTACAATGGGGAGCGTTGGCTCCTCTGGAACGATGGCACGACAAAAGCTGCTCAATTACCACAACAGTCAGTATTTTGGCGAGATAAAGATCGGAACCCCAGGCAGAAGATTCGTTGTTGTAAGTTATAAGCTGAGTTGAAGGAAAGTTAGACCCCTCAGATAAATGCCTTCAACTTCAGGTGTTTGATACGGGTTCCTCAAACCTTTGGGTCCCTGCAGCGGAATGCGAGAAGTAAGAACCAATTTCCTATAGGGTTGAGATCGAGCTTCTATTTAAGCACTCACAGAGGAGGATGCGCCCCCCATGAGAAATTCGATCCAAAGTACTCCAGCACATTTTCCCCCATACGGTCGCTAACGGGAGACCCAGCAGTAGCATTTATTCAAGTAGGCTTGAATTCCGTATTCATCAAGAAGCACCTTCCAAGCTCATTCCAATGATTTTCCCAGTACGGAACGGGCGCATGCGTTCTTAGAATGGGCCGCGATATCGTGGAAATCGGCGGAATGTAAGAAGAGCCACATTTTTCCACAGAGAAGCCCTTTCATTTTCTTCTTCAGTAAAGTTCCCAACCAGGCAATCGGTCTGGCTGTCGAAGGTATGTTACCAAGAGTCTACGAGCATCTTCTCATAGAACGTTATCCTCTTCGCTTCAGAATCGACTCATCCATTCGCTGATTTGCCCTTTGACGGGCTGGTGGGTTTGGGCTTCCCCGATGTGTCTGGTGAAGAAGGACTTCCTTCCAGCGCACTCCCCATTGTTGACCAAATGGTCAAGGAGGTACATTATCGATGGCTCAACTTCAAAGATTGTGCCTGTGAACATTCTTGTTTAGAAAGTTTTGGACCGCAATGTGTTTTCCGTCTACATGAGCGAAGACATCAACCGGTACGACCGCTTAATACATCCATGCACTCTCTTACAATGAGCTATTGAGCGAATCCCTCAGCCCCGGAGAAATTTCGGTAAAAGGCCTCCAATGTACCTTTGCAAAAATATGTGCTAAATTGTGTCTTAGTTTGGAGCAGCAGACCCGAAGTATACCTTCGCCGGCCACACCCCTAAGTGGTTCCCCGTCATCTCTCTAGGTTTGTTGGTCATTGTCTACTTCTCAACAACTTCATTCTCATTGTACTGCACCTTACAGACTACTGGTTTGTATTCTACTGCAGCCAAACTCATGAAAGCGTCCTAACACTAGTGCGACCACAGGGAGATCGGCCTCCACGGAATGAAGATAAATGGGAAATCCTTCGGCGTATGCGAAAAACGTGGATGCCGCGCGGCAGTCGATACTGGTTCCAGTTTGGTAAGCTGTTTCAAAGAAGCGTTACACACAACATTTCCTAAATGTTAGTGCAGATAACGGGGCCGTCATCTGTTATCAATCCCTTGATCAAAGCTCTCAATGTTGCTGAAAACTGTTCCAATCTTGGAACCCTACCAACTGTGAGTTAGCATTTGCGTCATATACAATATTCAAACGCTAAATTTTTCCTTTCAGCTCACATTTGTCCTTAAAGACATATACGGAAGACTTGTTAACTTCAGCCTCGCACCCAGGGACTATGTAGTGGAGGAACTTGATGCCGTAAGCACCGTTAGATCAACAAGTCCCAATTGCAGGCATCATAAAACTACACAGAGAGGAAACCCTAACAACTGTGCAGCTGGATTCATGGCTATGGTAAGCTGATACCACACGCTTGAGGCCCTGGAGAGATTGGCTCAAACCCTCCCTCAGGACGTGCCAGCGCCTCGTGGCCCTCTGTTCGTGCTCGGAAACTCCTTTATCAGGAAATACTACAGCATTTTCGACCGCGATCACATGGTAAGCGACACTTAGCAAGTCTGACTAAGAAGCGTTCAATAATTGTTTGTCTTCAGATGGTTGGATTCATGCGGTAAGAATACCACAAATGATCTGCGGTGAACAAAGCGTAATCCTTCGAAATGTTTGTTATCAATGCTGTAGGGCAAACCACGAAGGTATGTCTGACATAACTTAATGAGTACCGCACACTCCCCATTAATGGACGTGCAGGTTCCGGACCGCTTATCAAGGGATACCCATCATCGGCACCATCGGTGTCGGCGTCGAGTCTTGTTGCAGCCAGCGCTGCTGCATTCGCATTCGCGCTGGCCCGCTTTTAAGCGCCTGCCGAACAGTCTGTATGTGTGAAGTTGCGATAAGTGCCATCTTTAGCACATTGCGGACTTGCCGTTCATTCAATCATCCACTCTCTCCAGTGTTTCGCCCTGAGCAGTCACAATGCACATAGCTACTCTAGCACTAATAAGTCAGTTAAACATTTGCAACGAGGACTCCTAGCTACACCAGCTGGTACAGAAATGTTCTTACATATAAATTAAATCTTCGCCGTTTTCGCTCCGGTTCGCTTGACAGCTGTTCAAACAAGTCATGGCTCCATTTGCCATCAGCATTGCTAGCCGCTGCACACATTTACACAGTGGTGGGCAATATTTGCCACAGAGAGCACATTTAAAAAACATCCACCAACACACCGCTAAAAAAAATTCCCATACCTGTCGCGTTTCTCCTTTCCTGCAGCCCTCGCCCTGCGATTCCAACCTGCCCACAGGTCAACAAATCCAGAACAAAACTGTCAGTTTCTGCATGATGCGTGCAACACGAAAAAAGCGTCCAACGATCTTTTGCAGACTAAAGCCCTTACCATTTTCCGATTGCGCCCAGCAGCAGCCTGAATGTGAATAGGGGTCTTTCTAAGATGGCGTTGGTGTATTTGAGCTGGATGATGAAACATCCCGTTCTGTAGTTGCACACGTTGAGCCTCATTCGGGGTTGCGTTCCTCAAACGTGGTTGAGCGGAAATCAGCAAATTCCTGTCACCACGTCTAGCCACCAGCCGCACCGATCTTCCTGTGTCAACGGGATGAAGGGGATGCGGAAAATCAAAACGCTCATCTCTATCCAGACGGTGCCATGTACTGGGGCTGACCGGCTGAAATCTATTCATTGCCGGGAATAGGTGCTCGCCTCTTCCTCGAGGAGAACGTTGGGGCCTAGGGAACCCTCGTGGAGAGGGTCCCCGACAGGCTCTATACATCTCCGGAGTCTCCAACGACGCCAGGGGTTCTGTAGCCACAATTCTGCGCTTTACAGTCCTTCTGTCAGCTTCTACACTGCGCCTAATTTCCTCTGAAGGGAAGCGTGGGACTGGGCCCCCAGGTTCATCTACTTTTCGCGAACAATCTGTAGCAGCTGCTGCTGTGATGCTAGCGCCAGATGTTCCTGCTGAGCGTCCATCACACCGCCGATCATCATCCCTGATTCTTTCCGAGTGTAGCCTGTCTTCACGCCTCTGAATAGGCGGGGAATGGTTACTCTCGGCCACATACGGTGGAGGAGGGTGCTGCTCTACCTTGGCCGATAGTTCGTCTTTCTCTTGAGCCGGTTCTTCTTCCTGCGCATTACGCTTTTGTACACACTCTCCTGGGCTTCTGGAAACCGGATTTGGGTCAGACAAAATCCTGCTCTTCTCTAAAGCAGGCTGCTCAGTTCCGGAGGTTGTTACGGGACAGCTAGACTCTCCCTCCTTTCCTTCATCCCGTTCACCTTCGGGAACCCTCGATCGTACTAGCGGGGAGCGTGACACAGATGGGCACTGTCTCGTTCCAGGACAGAGCTCGCTCCTACGGGGAGGAGCTTCTGCTGGACCCTCGTCACCACACTTATCCCTTACAACACTGTCTTCTGCTCGCTTTGGAGAGGTTTCCTGGTCAGATGCTCGCTTTTCCTGACGGCCTAAAGAGTTTCTCGCTGAACTTGTTCCTCTGCTGTCGGCATTACAAGGCCGAGAAGAAACGAGGTCAGGGGTGGGACAGTCAGCAGATCGACAGCGCGAACGACTCCGTGAGGGCACTTCTGCGTGATTAGGGTGTTTGGCCGCTTCAGCTGGGACCCTTTCCCTCGAATGGCTCCACGACGCTAGACGTGATCGACCTTCGGATTGCGATGAGCGCCTAAGAGCCCCATCTACCCTCATTTTGGACTCGCCAGGGGAGAGCCGGCGTGTGCCTTTATCATGGTTCGGCGAATGGCGAGTCGAACTCTCACCCCCTCTTCTACTAGAATCAATCGGTGATCTCCGGGAAAGGCCTCTTTCAGAAACGTGCAACTGCCTATTCGCACTGGCTGCTTCTGCCACTCTCCCCCCACTTCCAGACCTTCGGCTAGACCTCTCAACAATCGGTGAGCGTCGCGCAGTGGCTGGTGAATGTCTTCTTCGGGCCCAACTGCCTGACCTACTAGCACTCTTCGACCACTTTGAATTTCGCCCTTGCGACCGAGATCGCTGACTTACAGGCGATGCCCTGTCATCCCGAGACAACCTTGGTGAAGGCCGGCGATTTTTGTGCTGGGACGAGCTTCGACCTTCACATCGCTCTGCTGTAACGTACTTAGCGGTTCGCCGTGTGTCACTTTTGTTACGAGGGTTATAGTGGTCTACTACATGTTCCTTTCGATGCTCTGCTCCCGGAGAAGGGCAATTTCTGCCCCGTTCATCACGCCGTTCCCGGTATCTGCTTCTGGAGGCCGACCGGTGGCTCAGATCTCTCCGCTCCGCCTGTTCCCCTCGCATAGGACTCCTGCGACGACCAGCGCGGGACGGACTGCGAGACAGAGCTCGATTCACCTCTCTCGACCGCAGATAGGCTGCTCTGCTACCAAACCTTGCGGATGGAACGTCGTTCCGAGTATATCTCTCGTTCCTATGAAGGGATTCCCCGCTCCTGCTGCGACGTGACATCGGAGACCGGCTTCTGCTGTGCCGATAATGCGCATTGCGCCCTCCTCTGTATGCACGTGGGTCCCTTCCATACCGGGCTCCAGAAGGGCTTCTGCGCCGATACTTCTCACCGTACTCTGGGCTCCTATTGCGATAGCCACGCCGTGTGTAGTCTGCGCCCCGATACGGCCGATCTGGGCTTCTATAGTCTGCACGAGCACTGCGGCGAGGCACGTAATTCCTAGACCTGCCTCCCGAAAGGCTCCTTCGTGGCTCAGAGCCGCGATCATAACCCATGGTGAGGAAACCAGAGGAGAGCAGGTCACGAGAAATTTCTCATCCACCTAGGGTGCGCTGTACAAACGGCAGTACCTGTAGCCGGTCAATGAGCCTGCTTTTGAAGCTTTTGGTTGACCTACGGTCCAAGGTAGATGCTTCGGAGCGACTATCAATGCCTACGTCACCGACACTTCTGAAGTGGTACACGGCCTCGCCAAGGCTGCTACCTCCCGCCCGAATACACGGCAAGGTCTCTTTGTGCTTAAGACTCGGATAGATGGCTCCCACACAGGGGACCCACGGAATGTACGGCCTCTGCTTCTCAAACCCGTCAACAGTACCCCCCGCAGTGAACAGACTTGGGTGGAGCCTAGCGTCGAAGGGATGGGGCACGCCGGTAGAGGCGGAGGAACGAAAGCAAGGCTTTTCAGCCCTACCATTCAACTGGACTGAGAAAGAAAGGTGGGAAGTAAATAATCAAGAGAAGCTGAAACTGGAGCCCTCCTACGGTGGCACGCGACAGGAGACATGATTCAAGGCGTGGGGGCACCAGCCGAGACAAAGGCCCTTCCCTACCTAATCCTAGGTCTAGTGAGGCTTTAAAACACACGACTTTGTGTTCATTCTCTCAGGGTTGCTGCACCAAGTAGTGCAGCCCCATCGTCAGCGGGTGGGCGTGAAGACGGCAGTGTCCAGCCGCAGCCCCACAGAGGGAAAACCGTTTCCTTCTGTTTGACTCCCTCAGCTGTCATACTTCTACATTCATCCTGTATACAGATTTAGTAGTCTTATTGCTGCTCAAGAAGTGGGTTTTAGACCAGCTTTCGTCCGCTCGTCTCTGAAGGCGCCATGGTTATTATGGGCTCCAGTTCGGGCAGCCTCGTGCTGCCCATGGGTGACGACATGCACACACATTTGCGTCAAGGGGAACTCATGGATGCTGTTGTTCCACTTCTTCGCAAAGGAGGTTGGTGAGGCTGCCAAACGCCGACAAACAGCCAATCAACAACCACGACTCCGCTACTGGAACAACCAAAACGGAGCTATGCAGTGGTGTCGAGATAGTACATAGGAGACCATGGATAGCATCCTTCATGTCGCTTTGTCGTCATGTGTGAGTGCAGCAACCGAGTGCTGGTGATGCCGAACACAGTTCCCCCAATTGTGACATGCTCACAGGCTCTCGAGTACAGAAACGAGCTGCTTAAAAGGGTGCGTATATGCAGGCCAGAGAAAGTCCTTGGAGCTTTCTCAATCAAAATGTATGGTACCTAGGTTCCTGCGGTGCTTCTTGCACTGCTGTGTCTGACGGTTTGCTGCGGTATTGTGCGGGCATATACGAGCCATCGAGGCTTCTGCAGGACCCCAAAGTAGATTACCTGATGACGCTTTACCTGTGCCCGGACGTTGATCCGCAAGATCTTGTTAACAATGCGAAGGCTTCGCATGTTGTTGGAGTGGGCCATAATTTTGTATTCTTAGACGCAACTACTGCCCATTTTGCCGTTACCGATCCGACCGCACCTACTAGTTGTGCTGAACTTTTCTCTGTTTTGTAGTTGCGGAAGCCTTGAGGAGTGTGCAGTCTGACAGAATCTCTTCAGCTTTCCTGAATTCAGAAGATTATAGGGGTTGCGTCGTCCTGTAATCCGCAGGTCAAGCTGTATCCACGTGGTGTCACCACCAACTCGCAGCACGGAGTGGAGGTCAGCGGTCCTTTCATTTATGCTACTGCTGCATCAACCTTCCTTGAGCTAGGATTATCGCCTGACGTAAAGGGCAGCTGAGCACCAGCCAGGTGGAAAGCTGGAGCCTACAGTGTATCTTGCACTTTGGGCTATGCAGGACCTCGGGGCGTTTGACAGCGTGTTTGAAGTGCTCCAGCAATGCGGATTAACTCTGCACATTCACGCAGAGTCTCCGAAAGCTACGGCCCTCAAGGCAGAGGAAACGTTTTTGCCGGCCTTCGAGCAGGTTCGAGGTCATTCATCTTCACACAGGACGCTCCGCAGCTGCTTACACCCCCGTCTCACGGTGTCGCAGTCTGTGTGACAGCAGTCTAGGACAGGACAGAGCAAACTACGGAGTTGCTTGATGTTAAAACGAGCGCTTTTGCGTTGTTGCTGACCGCGTTTTCCAGATACACCAGCGCTTTCCCGGCTTGAAGATTGTCTTTGAACACATATCAACGGCTGCAGCAGTAGAAGCTGTGAAGGGCAAAAAAAACGTCGCCGCCACCATTACTGCACACCACCTACGAGTGCGCAAGAACAGTGTTCTTTGAAATACACCATGACCTATTCTGTGATCACTGCTAAGAATTGCTTTGGGAGGGTACGCAACTTTTATAGTTGTGGGTGGTGTTGTGTAACGTCAAATGCGTTTAGTTCTGATGCTCTGGTGGCCCGCGTAGTCTGCTGCATCAAATGCAGACAGATATTGAGACGGGGATTCCAAGAGTAGAGGTGCTGGTTTTGTCCCCTGGAGCTGTGAATGCTCGAGCAAAGGTGCCTCTACCAACGCGCAGCCTGTATCGTTGAGCTCCAATGTGTGGTTATTCGGGGCTGCAGCTGACAACAGGAGACGTGTGGGGTCAAGAGGAAGCAGAAGAAAGCCTAAACCACTTGCCTGACGGGCCCGAGGAACGCCGCGTGTTAAATCCGCACAACTTCTGCAAGCCAGTGCCCAAGCGCGAGGAAGACCGTCAGGCACTGTTAAGCGTAAGTGGCCTAGCTTCCTCCCATCACCCACCACCACCGATTGCGACGGTTATGTGCTTCTTTAGCGCGTGTACTTTTCACTTATGCTATTATTCTGTTTGATGTGGTTTCTTTGTTGAAGCCTCCGTGACTTGCATTCTCAGGTAATTCGCGAGGGAAATCCCCAGTTTTTTCTCGGCTCCGACTCAGCTCCTCATCCCGTGTCCGCCAAGCGTAACACCATAAGACAGCAGCAGACGAGGCAGTGAAATATTGTGCAGTGGAGGGAGGGAGTGATGTGACGTAATATAGATTGGAGTTGGGTCCAGTGAGAGTTAACGTTAGTAAAGCGCACCGCACTTAAGTGCAGTTAAGTAAACCGAAGTCAAGTGCACAACAGCAAATGAAGGGAAGAAGATAGAAGGCATTTAGGCAGTCTGCATTAGGTTAATGGCAACCGAATTTATGATTAACAAGGGGGACTTCGCATAACCTTCTCACCTGCAGGACGAAGAAGAACTCCAACCCGCCAGCAGCCGGCGTCTTTACGCAGGCGTTCCTTCTTGCGGTATATTCACCCTTGCTGTCACTTCGTAACTATCCACAGCAGAGAAGCATCACTGTAACAGAGTGTTTTCGAACGAACCTCATAATATTGCGCACCGTCAGCCAGTTGAGGGGCGCCGTAAATTTCCTTTTAGATATTTAGACACTTAGTCGAGCAGGGATGCGTCAGCCGAGTTAAGACCGCAGCGAAGAGCGCGCTTTTGTATTTAGCGGCGAAGTCACAGGAACAGCCCTACTTGGGTTTGGTGGTTTGTTTTGTCCACAGTACCTCGCCGACACTTTCGCCCGCGCAGGATGCTTGGACAAGCTGAGGGGCTTTGCATGCGAACACGCAGCAGCCTTTTTCGGGATGCCAAAGAAGGGTAAGAGCTCGTTACGACGCATTTCTGATATAGTTCTTCAGAAAAATGCAGCTGAACTATGTGTTCTTTCGAGATGCAACCACATACTTATCTAGCCGAAGCCTTTTAAGGCAAATCGAAGTTCAGTAGCAGCGCCTGTTTATTGTTGCTTCTACAGCAAACCATTGTAGTTCTGGCCGGTACCCACTGCTTGCCGCTTGTCACCCCTTCATTGTTTACTGCTTGCTTCTCTGCTCACTTGCGTATGTTGGGCAGAGTTGGTGGAGGGAGAAGACTGTGTTGTGCTGGAACGGAAGCCATTTGCGGTAGGAACTGTGTCACGTTTGAATCAAGCAGTAGAATAAAATTGCAACGCCTATGCGAGCAGGGCGTAGCAGATTATGGTGGGTTTGACTGGCGTTGATTCTCAGGTCCCTCAAGCCGTCTGTGGAATGGAGGGGTCGGGCAATGAAGTGGTACCTTTTCTCTCCGGTGATGAGCTCCTCTTTACCGTCAGCGTTACTCCATTCTCTGCAGCTCTAGAGTCAATTCAATGAGCGTTTGGCGACAGGGTGCCGGCGGCAATGCGAAGTTCCTTTGCCTTGCTGGCCCGGAAGTTTCATCGCTCGTAGCCTGTCCCCGCTGCACGAGCGGGGTACCCTGATTTACCGTTAAATAAATGGCATTTTTACAAGTATTGGGTGGCATGAATTCCTTTGGATATAATGCCCCTTATCGTCTCGTTGTTTGCGTTAACAGCCCAGCGAGCAATCGTAAGTGTGGGCGTTTATAGTACTTCTGGTTCCTTCAGCCCCTTCACGACACATCTGACGATCAGCAAGCTTTAAACGTTTGGAGCTATTGTCGCTCTGCCCGCTGAGTTTATCAGCGCCCGTTGTGACATGACACAGCATCGTAAGGGCCGGGTGTCACACGATTTGTGTACGGGAAGATGTTCCTGCACAGATTTCCCAATTGTGTCTTTTACAGTTAGAGGGACCAAATGGCTCTTCAGTGGGGTCAGCAAGAAACCCTTGCCGCGGGACATCCCGTAATTGTCGTATACTTGCAGTTGTTGCAGTTGCAGTTTCGGCACCACGTCACCCTCGCCTAGCGTTGCAGGAAGGTTCAACATCTTTATTGCATATATTTTCATCACACTAAAGCATAAAGGCAGCAGGGCTCAACTTGCCTACAATGTGCTCACTATTGGTGTACATGCATAGCCGCGCAGCCCCAGCCGCCCTTTCGGTGGCAAATTGCCGTTCAGTTTGGGCTTATTTGTTCCGCTTGCTTTGAATTCACAGTTCTCGTTACTTTTCAATTCATTTTAAGCTGCTGCCAGTCGGTTTTTGATGCGGAGCCTAGGGCAGTGGCGGCCGAAGTCGATGGGCGCCCATCTGTGGCCCTTCCCACAGCGACAATCTGAATGTTTCGCTCTCACTCACTTCGTTCGTTAACAAAAGTCATTGACACATTTCTTTGGTTTCCTCATTGAGTTTTGTTCCAGCTACGTCGGCAGGCCCCTGCTGCATCAACCTCCGTTCGTGTGCGTTCCCGGGTACGCCGACTGCCGCGTGATAAACCCAGTTGACTATTACCCGCCTCCTCTAGTAGCCGGCTGTTAGTTCCTGAGGATGTTTGTGCGGATATTGCAACTTCAGCGGCTCTCAGTGACGAGACGCAGAAGCGGCAAAGGGAGCCTCACCACAGTTGAAGCGCAAGGCGAAGGTGAAGTCAGGAAGTACTGAGCTGGTGACGGACAGAAAGTGACAAAGTAGTAGTCTGATGAAATGTTGAACTGAGGAATGAAGAGGCAGTTAGTAGTTGACTTGTATAGAGGCAGCTGCAAAAGAGCAGATCTCCTAGGACCTCGCCAAACATTTGACTAGCTCTGCCTCACCCGTAGTCAGCTTTCAACGGCTTCCTTACTTTTCTACCTCCATCTGGAGGCTGAATCTCTCTGTTACACGGCTCAGCACCCCTAGGCGGTCCGTATACAGGAGTGACGACGCGCCCGTGCATGGATATTCGTGCATGGATATTTTGATACGCTGTAACGCGCAGCAGGCACAGACGAGAACGTTATCCTCGGGGTGCCTTACAGCCACCCAGCGTCCACTATTTAGTAGGAGCTGCCAAGATCTGCAAACTGTTTAGGAGTGGCCATAAACGCCCAAAGGCTACGGCCTCAGGTCGCCAACGTGTTGAATGCCTTCTACAGGTTGTGGCCTCGTAGACATATTTGAGGGGCTTCTACGGCTTGAGTGACTTTGTAGCCCTTGGAATGATTGAGATTGCAGCAGCTTAGACCCAAGAGGCGTGGTATGCCTCCCGGCATCAACGGGTCCTTAGCAAATAGGGCGACAGTACCAACAGATATTGAAGAGTAGCATCTATATATGTAAGTACCACCTATGGAGTGTCGAAACGACGGCCTCGAGGGTGTTGAGGTGGAGGAGCAGCTGCTGCAATTCCAGCAGGCGGTAGATGACCTGAGAGACGCCGTACGTCAGCTGGCGGCGAGTCCTTTGACGAACAGTCAGGATCGCCAGAAGCACATATTTCAAATAAACAAACTTAAGCAAGAGGTGCGAACAAGCAAAGGAACCCGAGGGGAGCCCGCCTACGCAGCAGTCAGGTCTCACTTCTGACGGTTTTTTGGAAAGTTGGAATTCTTCCGCTGGGGGTTTCACTCCTATTACTGTGGATGACTGTGTATGCTTGGATTTGCGTCAGTAGGCAGGAAGTTGCACATATTTTGTCAGTGGCAATCAGTGTCTGTTTGGAATTTCCTGTGCATTAAACATTTCAGGCAACGGTGTGCATGCGTTCCTTGGCGTTGGAGCTGCGATGTTCGTCGTCGGTGTTGAGTCCTGAGGCAATCTCACGACTGGTGCGGCGACAGCAGCTGCTGCAGCAACAGTTCAAAGAAGTGTCCGCCGAATGCGAAGCGCAACTGCTGTCAGTCAGTAAAGACGAGCTTCTGCAACGTTATACGGGGGCTCATGAAGAACTACAAGAGGCGACGGACGTGTGCGCGCAACAACAACGACAACAGCTAATCACGCTGGGCGACGAGATCCAGGACCAAACGGAAGTTAGACAGAATTCCCAGTGTACAGCGTAGATCGTGACGAAATTGAGTGTGCTGTAGACGGCTTTCTCCAGTGCCACAGGCACCCATGTTTCCTTGTGTATCGTCATTTGTTTCCATCGACTGCCATCTTTTTCCATGCTCATGGGCGTCTTCTGGCCCCTCAGGTGTCGCTGGAGTCATATTCATTCCGCTTGGCTTCTTGATATGCCCTTGTGTGTCGACGCATGCTCTGCAGCTCAGTTTGGCGCGGACACAGCAGCAGGCGGCTCAGACGGAAGAGATGGGGGGGGCGATCCTGCAGAGGCTGCAACAGCAGAATGAGCAGCTGGACGGCGTAAAGGATGGTCTGGACAACGTTGAGATGAACATAGGCCGCACGAAGAAGACAGCGCACGCAATTGCTAAGAACGCTGCTCACGACCGCTGTCTGCAGTGCCTCTGCTGCTGCGTTGTACTTCTTCTCATTGCATCAATAGTCCTCATTGCCCTGCCAGGCAAATGACAGACACCGATCTTGATGTTTCCTTATATACTTACTACCGCTGCGGTGCCACGGATGAAGGCTAGTCCGCAGCAACCTGGCGGTGAGCATGGTGGCTGCGAAGACAGTCCGGGGCCTCCTACATAGGAATGCATCACCACTAAGCTCGCCGTATCTTCCTGTAGGCAATAGCCTTAGCCCTGCACTGCACGGGGAAGGAAAGAGAGGCACAGGGCAGGTAGCGACGGCTGGAGATTGTGTGCATCCATTGAAACGACTGCGAACGTTGTGGTCTCACCAAGCAGTCTCCTCTGCTCTCCACGTCTGCATATCCCGCCAACACGGCATCCCTGCCCTACACCTCCGGGTTTTAATGTTAAGGGTTAGGAAAGTTGGCCCTTCACGGTTCTAGGCGCCCGTGCTGCGTTTGCAGTAACTTTGCAAACTCCAAGTGACACATAACGCCTGCCGAGGTATTTTACACACCTTAGTTGTCTTTGCGTAAACTTTTGTCGTATTTGCATGGGTTTACATGCACTAGCGTGTTCTCTTGATAATCGCCTTGTGTTCGCCCTACGTTTCGTCAACAATCTGTTTGGTTCACAGCTGGCAACACCGAAGGCGTGTGCTTGTATATGAACTTCCCTGTCTAAAACGCAACAACCAGTAGAGTAACGGTTTCTGCACTGTACAGCAAAACTGAGGAGGGTTAAAAGAAGACGGCGGTGTCTGTACGAGGGCGATATCACGCCGTATGGTCGAAGAGAACCATGCTGAGGAGACAAGCGGGTGTGCAGTGCACATCTATCAATACGCCCTAATCTCCCTCCACTTATGCGTCTTTGAGCGTTTCCTGAGTGAAGAGCCGCTCTGTCCGCCACCTCCTTTGTTGTTGCCCGTGCGGAAACCGTCTGCTTCTTTGTGGGATGCATGAATCCTCACTTGGTTGACAGCCATCCCAAGTCGTCGCCTCAGAGCTGACGCTTCTGCCTGGTTCAATGCCCAGCCTAAATGCGGCAGCTGGGGGTCTCCGGAACCCTCAGGAAACGGTTGCCTCAGGGGATGCACGTTGTGCACACTGGGTAAAAAGTAAGGCGAGTAGCGCCGCTGCTCTTCTCTCATTTGCATTTCGTACAACTCCTTGCCCCTTAGGTGTCTGTATAGGGCCTGACAAGGGTCGCCACGAGCATATGCGCTGGCGAATGACTTCCATGGCAACGCCCACTCCTTAACTTCAGGATTTCGCTCGTAAAACCGAATTACCGCCTTCATTTTTTCCCCAAGGACGCTGCGAAGTTCTTCTGGAGGTGTACGCAACAAATACTCATCAAGTCCTCCCGCATCGTCGATGGCATGAATAGCTGAAGTCGTGACTTTCAGGTTTTTCACAACTGTATTCAACCCTTCAGATTCAAAGTCCTTTTTTAGTACATTTGGCTTTAACTTGCGGCGGTGTTTCCGCAATGAGAAGGATATCTTCGTGTAGTAGTTGTAGTCCTCATCGTGGAATAGGCCACACTGCGAAGCAGCAGAAGGCGGACGGCCATATGCTTTCACAGGTATAGGTGGGAGGATTTGCTTTTTCTTAAATCCCTTCTGCGCGCCTCTACCCAGGCAGCGCAAGTACTTCCCAAAAAGAGACGCATTGCGCAGCATCCTCACACGTGCATTTGCACATCCAAGTCAGCGTATGCGCGACCAACTCCAAAAGCTTCAAAAATTCGGAGGTGCAATGCAACTCAACACTGCTGACTCTACACGAAGCGAAGAGCCATGAGCAGGAAAAACTGTGACGCTCGTTTGTGGTTGGCGGGTTTGTCGAATATATGAGGAGCGAAGCCTGCAGTGCAAAGCAGACAAGATCAAAATGGTGCCGACTCCTTACCAACTCGTTGATGATGAAGCACTAGAGTAGGGAAAGAAGGGGGGGTTCGCGCCGCAGGTTCGCGCAACAGCTTTCACAGGTGGACAGGTGAAAGGGCGAAAGCCGACAGTACTGTGTGTAGTCGTGGGGCCCGCCGTTCGTCCCAGCTCCAGGACCCCCCAGAGATCTTCTGGAATTACAGTTCCTTGGCCCCCCCAGCAAAAAAGCAAGTTGAATAAATGAAGAAGCAAAGGGACAGGGTCGGGAACACTCCAGGTGGTGAACACCGTTGCTCTGTCCCTCCTTGTGTTCTAGTCTCTGTGAGTAGGTTTTAAGAAAACTGTATTTGTATAAATAAATAGGCGAAAAGAGCTTTCCAAGGCCTGTTGAAGCAACAGCCTTTGTTCATGTTTCGATGAAACTGCATGCAGGAGTCAATCATTGCCTCAGTCCCACTGCCACCAGGGGTTGGGTCAGCAATAATTTTTCAGGAAATGACAAAGATATACCTTATTTGGAATATTCATTTTGGAAGGGTAGGATGCTTTTAATTATAGTGGACTTGCTAACTAGGCTCGCATCTCCTGTTGCCCGCTCAGTTGTGCAGGAATCCCATAGTGTCAGCTTGCTGGAGTCTCGACACACCGCAAAAATTTACACTGGCACCGTCTTTGGTTCAAGCTAAAATTAGACTGAACATACGAACACTCATTTGTATTGATCCTTCTCTATGGCTTGTGTTTATTCCTTCGTGTGCTTTATTCCGTTCATTCGTCACGTTGCTTGTGATAGCTGGAGATCCGTTGCTTCCTGTGCATGCCCCTGTCATCTCCCGACAAACTCGACGAAAGAGAAAAGTCGTTAGATGCGTTTTGCCCCTTTCCTCTTTATTCTGGCATTTCCCGCATCGTCGGCATTACCTCCTACTCGCTTTTTGGCGGCATTGGCTTGACGCAGTCAACGTTGTCACACGTTCTCTTGCCTTTCTTGCAGGCCATTATGCCTACTCGATCCGATCATTTTTTCGTGGGGCGTTCTAAGTCAAAGGTTCCTACGGTGGATGCGCCTTGCTGTCTGCGCCGCCGTCTGCATTGGCCCAGTTGTGGAGATCTACAAGGCAACAAATCTGTGGATGCTTTCTGCATTCTGTAGAGTGTGGAGACAATCAAGCAACTAGACTGCAGTTATGTTGTGCAGAGTTTGTAGTGCATTTTTGTGGACATCGGCTGCCATAACGTATTTCCCCTAAGCCCTTGCCGCCTGCCTGTGCTGGATCCTTTTGCTGTGCAGTTGATCAACCGGAAACTAGGTATTATTATTATTGACACTACAGGTTTATTCCGCTTCTTTCTCCGTGTTCGTATGCTTTTGGTTTGAGGGTTCTTGTGATTAGTTGCTATTAACGTTGGTGTGGGTGTCGCTGATTGCCTTCGCAAGCTGCAGTTGATATTCTCCGCGTTGTTGTGGAGCTCCGCAGCATTCATCTCCTCCCCTTTAGCAAGTTTGCGTCACTTCCCTCACAATCCTCCAGCAGATCAAGCCACAGCAGCATCAGCGGCTACAATAGCAGCAGCAGTAACACAGTGGATGGTACGTGCTCCCGTTGGCTTGTCATTTTTAGGAGCACGTTAGCATATATTCGCGTGGGCAGCGTTAGTTGTGCATTATGCTTGGATGGTATTTAGGGCAACGCGTCTGCATCGGTTAGAACTTCGTACTTCATGGTTTACTTCCTGTTTCTTCAGTGCAGCCCTCTGGTCCACCCGACTTATCGTTCGCGTGAATGATTCGTTCTTCGTTCGCACCCTTACATTCATGCGAATACATTAGCCTGCGGGTGGTTTTCTACCTTTATGCAATCTTTGCGCGTCCTAGATCGTCATTATTCCGTAATGGTGTACGTCATTGGCCCCCCGGTACTAGTGGCTTTTATTTGGTGATGAGTTTTATCCTGCGAAAGGAACCACCCCACCTCTCAGCTCCTCTTGGCTGCCTAGCCAGCTAGAAATTGCAGATTTTAGGGCCATTCCCCTCATTTATGAAACATAAATATGAAAGGTCTGAAGCCACCGTTGGACTTATCTCTACCCGTGCCTGATACTGCTCGATGCAGCGCTATTTTGGTATTTTCCGTTGCTTCAGCTCCCACCGCGCTGGGAAAGAGGGGATAGACCTTCGTCGCAGAGCCTGCCAGGGAGCTTCTATACACAGAGTGTTCTTCGGATGAATAAGTCCATTTGATACAACAAGCATTGTCGTGCTCGCTGCATAGGATGCTAAAATCCTGTCGTGTTGATGTGTCTGAGGCAACAATAAAGCTGCCCCGCACTACGGCGATCATCATATCTGGATACTCGGCAATAGCATTCTCCACGAATTTGGTTTGCTGTAGAAACATTCTTTGTTTGATGGATTGCATCCAATGCTGCGCTTGCTTCCATTCGACTAGACTGCCAACCATTGGCCACCTGCCGGTCGTTGGGCTGATTACGATAAATCTTGACTACCAGAAAGAAGCGAAGGGTGGAAAATCGACAAAAGCTCGGGGAGAGTTCCAAGCGAGTTTTTTCTGTGGAAGTCTTTGTTAAAGTAGAATATCGAGGACGGCACTGTATCCGCATTGCACACACGCAATTGAGGCACATAGCCTTCTGCCAGTCTTCGAATCAACTATCTTCAAGAGCTCCTGCTTTCTTAACGTTTGTCTTCTGGGGCTACATAGGGTTTATGCGCCAACTGCAGACAGTCATGCAAAAGAGACACCGGACAAAATATGGTAGAATGCTGGCCCATCATCGGGCAATACGTCGTGTTGCAGCTTTTTTGTCAATGAAATGGACTCGATCCTGATAAGAGACTTGGAGTACGCATGTAAGGATTCTAGTGCCTTTATTGCCCTTATCTGGCTGATGTTCGGCCTAAACTCGAACACGAGCCTGGCGGAAGAGCATACGCCACCATTGCTGTCACGCTGTTACAGTGCCGTTCTCCGTGCCCAGTTGAAACGAAACAAAAACACTAAATGGAGACAATATTCTAAAATGAAACAAGCATCAGCTTTGCATTTGACGGTAGACGACTTTTGCCACCGCCTGCGAACCCAGAGACGGATCGGTAGTGTGGTGGCCATTGGCCTCTGTTCCAAAGGATTGAACCAAGGTAGACGACTCGTTGTCCTAAGATATTTGTTTGAATATGTTTTGAAGGGTAAATTAATAATCTTCACTTCTCCTGAGTGCCAAGGTTTTGTCTTTCTTCCTCAACAGATCCTTGACTGTCCTGCACTGGTGGGCAGCAGTCCACAGGACTATTTGAAGGTCCATCAACAGTGATTGACCTGAATGATTGTGCAGCTTCACGTAACTGACTGGTATTGGGTGCATCTATAGGGGAATCTTCTTTTCTATTTTTTAGAATATTATTGGCTTTTTTGGTCTGCTTCCCTTTCAAAGTTTCACCTGCATTTTCGCCGTTGTCGTTGTCTCGACAGGATGGGGCGACTGGCGGTTTCAGGCCGTCTCCATCTCATGCCGTTCCTAGGGGTTTTATTTGGCTTAGTTGTGAATAGCCTAGTCCCAAATGCTAGTTCTCGACAGCTTCATGGCGTTGCTGCTCGCTTCCACTCCCTCTCGCCTCCAGCCCAATTAGACCATCTAAAGCCTTTCGCCTCCGGTTCTTTCTTGTCTACGGCAGCTCGACCAAGAAGCACCTCGCTCACCTTCGCCTCCCCGGAGGAATCCGGTGCTTCTGATGAGCCGTCGTCGAAAGTGCGTCACCGTTCCCAGTCCCTTGGGTCGGGACGGCAGGCCCCGTCGGGCGTCTGGAAAAGCGAGGGGGGAAGGCCGAACATGCAACAGCCTCAAACGCAAAACGAACAAGCTCAACAACAAAAACGGCGACATAGCCGGTTTCAGCGTCTCCGGAATGCCTTAAAACGCCTGGGAGGCGCCGCGAAAGAAAAACTGAAGCGTCTGTGGCAAAGCATAAAGCGTGGTGCTTCTCGGGCAAAACGTGCAGCGCGCCAAGCAGTCACAAATCTTTACAATAGGTTCCCGAGGCTCCGAAAATCCCGAAAGGCACCTGAAGGAGCAGAAGTTATTGCCTCATCAGGCCTGGCGGGGGCAGGCCTCGCCTCGGCTGCACCACACCTAGGTCCCGGTGAGGACGTTCCCGAAGGGGTTAAGACACTTGAAGAAGAGGAAGTTTCTACCCCTCCGAGCCCTGATAACTCCACGACGAGTACGGCAACGGAGGAAACAGCAGCAACTCCCACACCGGAAGGACCTTATCGGTCTAAGGAAGTGGAGGAATGGTTTGAAGCACCAACAGCTGAAGACGGTACAGACACAAGCGAAGAGTGGCATGATGCAGTACTCCCTGGTGGTGAGGATAATGCCAATGCCGGTGAGCGCGAATCAGAACCAGTGCGGAGTCCAGAGAGAACACAAGTTTTTGGCGAGGCAGAAACTTGACCTGCTTCCTCAGTGCTTAAAAACACTACTTTTTCATGACAATGATGATTAAACTGTGCAGAATCTGGCGTGGGCACTGCACGCCTTGGTCTTTTTTCACGCGGGAAGGAAACTTCAATATTTTTTTGGACGCGACGCAGGACTTGGTAGTCCAGACTTGGGGCTCGATAGCGGCAGGAAAACAGATAATACAAACTGATAAATCCTTCGATGCGGAACTGCTGCGCGTGACCCTTGCATTGGCGCTAGTGGAAGACCGCATAGCAAAGGCAATGGACCAAACTGAGGAGTACTGTTGGTTGCCAGCCTTGACAACTTTTGTGAAGAGACAATTGCTAGTGAAGTTCGCCGTTTGGAAAGTACCCGTTCCGTGGTCATTTTTGCCAACCCTTTCGAATGCATCAAGCCGCTGATTATTCTCGTCAATGTCGTCACCGAAAAATCCACCAAATCGCCTAAGCGATGCTTAGCGAACGGGAGAATTTGCAGCGCATTCTGACTGATAGAAAGTAACTTATCCAGCTGGTATTTGACGTTTGCCAACGGTCATAGAGAGGGTGGAGGGCGCACTTGCCCTGCAGATTTTAGGCATGCAAACCTGAAGGGGAGGGAAGTGCAGCTCTTCCCGTAGGTCAGCGATTCCGGGGCTATGAATCAACCCTCCCAAAAGGGCGGCATTGGCTACACCCTCCTTTCGTTGTGGGATGCAGACTGGTGCAGAAAATATTGAACGTATATCTCTCAAACACTCGTCCTTGGGCGGCACAAAACTAGCCCTAAACCCGAAGATTCGGGTTTACGGCTGAATTCATTACTGTTCTGAAGGGCGCATAGGGACAGTGGACGACTTAGGGAGACTCAACACGCCGAAATTTTTCTCGTCATTCAGGCGGTGGGCATGCTGGGTTGTTCCGTGAACTTGATGCAGCCGAGCATTCTCATTTGTTGCCGTGCAGATGTGTTGATGTTTGCATATTCTTTTCCGCCTGGCACTCGCCTTCGCATGCTTTGCATGTTCGTCTGAGTTTTGTGCTTTCTGAAGTCGACGGGTGCATCAACTGTACTGATTTAAATGACTGTCCCCGCCGTCTCGGGCAAGATTCCTGCGTAAGCAGCACCAGTTAAGCGGCCCCAGTGATGTAGTTTGCAGATATCGTCTTCTCCAAGCACTTTCAGAGCGTCAAACAATAATTTTTCTAAACCTCAAGTGTCTGTTTTGCTGCTTAGAATGTGGCAAAAAATCCTAGCAAATAGCTATTTCCTTCCATAGTGTAACGAATTGGAAACCACGCGCGTACGTGCATTGAGGAAATGAGTGTTCTGCCATGAGACTGGGACCGGACGCTCGAGTTACAGCGTAATTCCATTACAAAGATATATACCAAGTGCCCTGGATGTTAGACGAAATGGCAGAACTCATCGAACGGAAATGTGAACTAGGACAGGAAACTGTGTCGCGCGCATTGCTCCCTCCACCTAAATGTGAAGTTAAGTGGACTTGCACGAGCAAATTTGCACCAACAGATTTGTTTTTGATTTTATCCTGAACAATAAAATTGAACAATCACACATAGTATCTCATTGAGATGCTCTTCTTTCTTTGTCTATTGAGCGGTAGTCGACAATCGGAGCGTTGCTTGCACACTGTCGGCGGCGACTCTGCTGGCACTACGCCTTGCGTGTCTTAACACCGGCGCCAATCTAAGTAAAGTTGAAATAGGAAGTAGCACTCGAAGCTTTAGAATATGCGGACCGTGGCCTAAGGTCAGCTTCATTGTGGAAAGTACGTGCGCCAGTGGAGTTGACTGCGTCGTTCGGAACAACGAGTCACGGAAGACGAAATCCATCTTAGTCAAGAAGTCGGTGCAAGCGCTGTTAGTTAAATTATGTTTAATTTACTTTTTGCCTTCCTTTATATCTGTAGTTTCCTTCCATGCCACAGAACCGCCTTCCAGCGTGAGGCGTGGAGGACCGGTTTTGCCGCGGCGATGGGACGCCAGCAAATTTGTCCGCGGATAGGGTTATCCTAACTTACTTAACAACAGTTCAGCTTCAGTTTGAGTTTCCAGTTCGAAATTCTTTGTACTATCATAGGGGCAGACGCTGGCTCTGCGACTGTTCAGACTTTTTATGCGAAGCAATCTCGGACGCAACAGAAGGATGAACGTCGGCGCCCGCATATTTGGGGCTCAATTTGGTATTTACACATTTAAAAGCTATTTACCCATCATTGCAGCTGTCATTGTGGCAGCTGTGGTGGGGGAAATTGCCCACAACGCCCGCATGAAGAGGCGCCAGATTGAAGAGTTTCAGAGGCTGTCTCGGCTGCGCCGCCTGGTCCGCCGACAGCGTAAAAGACGCGACTTGGCGCTTCTTAAGGCTAGGGAAAAGGCCAGAAGAGCAGCAGCAAGAATGGCAGCTCATGCACATCCCCACTATACATACGTCGGTCGCACGCATGGTCACGACGTCTGGCGCCTGACGCCCACCGCCAGCGCAGGCCCAACTCGCCATCCTCCCCCCAGAATAGGGGCAACAATAAGGTACGGTGGAGGTATGCCTTCAGCTCACTACTTCAAGACAGATGAAGAGTTAGATCAAGCGGCTCAGACAAAGGAAAGCGAAGGTGCAGCATCACCCGCCGCACGCATGGCTCCTCTGAGGGACAAAACCGGTCTGCAAGTCATGAGTAGAACAGAAGCAGAGACAAAGAAAGGGGACGCAGCTGAAGTAACAGATTCAACACCTACGCCACCGGTAGCAGCAGCAACGGAAACAACATGAGCCCATATCGGAAAAATGAGCGGAAGGCAAGACCATCACGGATAACTACATCTGTATCAGCCAAGCACAACGCGACTACAGCCGGAAGAACTAAGCAGGCAAACAACCGACCACTGGTCCTCCTGCTATGGCCAGACCCACAGCTCATCACGGAGAGACTGAAAAGTAAGTTCGAAAACATTAAATGGTGATGCAGCCGAAGCGGCAGATTGCACGTTGGTTGCTCCCCTGATATTCACAGGAGATTCGATGAGGGTAGGTATCAGGACAGAAGCTGTCCCCCTTGCTTTCTCTGCCTAAGCTTACATAGTGATCTGCTCTTTTGCCTAGCACCTCATACTTTTTCGTGGTTCATTTCTGTTTTGCTAATTTGTTAGTTGATTTGTTCGTGTTCCAGTGTCCTGGTGCACAATCAATTCGTCAGCATCTCTACACAATCTCCTCTGCCCCAGCCCAAAGACTGCATGGGTGCAACAACAATAAGGCCTTCAATCGATAAATTGTCTTATGTTGAGGGGCCCTAGATGAAAGTGTGAAGAAAACCATATGCCTCCGGGGCATTTATAGCGCTCACCTTCTGTAAAGGCAGCCGCTTGTGTTGCTGCGGCCTCAGCAGACGGGGTCGGCGTCTGTAGGCAGACAACGTTTTATGGAAGGTACTGTACATAGGCCTGAGCGCACTACTGGAGACGAGACAGAAGGCGCACCATTTCAACTTCAGAAGGAATATATGGATGGGTTGAATGGGAGTTAAGCGTCAAATGAGGACTAACTGCAACACCAAACAACGGCTGTGCCACCCGTTCTCGTTGCAGCTGCAGAAGACAACTGAGCTGAAGATGGCACTACTCAATATATTTGCTTTGTTGACCTACGAAGCTCATCTCTGCCCCCGCAGGTCTTGCCAAGGAGACGCCTGCTGTACATACACCACACCTGAAATCCACAGGGAGAGCTTAACACGAAAAACTTCAATCGACTGCCTGTACCTTCTTTTGGCACCCAAATGGGTGAACCATGAGTGACCCAAGTCGAAATCGTCCTCTGTTGTTGTCTCTCCTCCTCAGCCATTTCGCCTGTGTCCTGCCACCGTCAGACACCTACCCAGCTTGTTTTTCTGAGTTGTCAGATTCTCACCCTCCAGTACAGCCACCTTGGGGATTCAGATCATCGACAAGTTGGATGCGTATGCCGGCAAAAGAATGTGCTGTCTTGATTGTGAACGTACCTGAGACTTCACCTCATGCCGCAAGTCAGCCAAAAGGCCGTTAATCTGCGACTTGCTAAATCGCAGAGTTCTCGCAGGCTGCACTTTAAGCGCAATGTTTGGAGGAGGGGCCATCATGTTTGCAATGAAAGCAGAGCGCTGCTCTCCCGCGGCGGCGGCGGCCTCCCCCGTCCATGATGTTTGGCTCAACGCACCGTGAGCCGTTTGTCCTGTGCCGCTTGAACTTAGCGGCCAAAGCAAGCCCCACATGGACAGAATTATTAGGCACCGACGCACGTTGTTTTTCATATTCGTTTTGCAGATTGCATGCGCATTAATTGGTGCTGCACCATCAACATGCTAGAGCACAGCACAACGTATCTGTACGTACACCGGAAAACTGGTCATTAATCTGCGAGCGACTTAGTTAATTTCCTTTGAAAAGCGGCGGTAAATGCTATCTTGAGGGATGCTAGCTGTAGCCAGCTGCAGAATAGTTTTTTCACTTATTCCATGTGGTGTGGTGTTCTATGTGTTCGTGCACCAGCGCAGCCACCTGAGGAGTTGACACGACGACTAGGAAAGCAACACGGCCTCTTCACTTCCAGAGGAAGTATTCATGAGAAGGTGCCACTTCAATAGCACGAGAAAAAGACTGTCATCCCATTTGATCGTACTGATGAGAATGCTCCCTACCACAGACAGGTCCACCAGCGAACCACTAGCTGCTCCTCCCCGTGCATATTCCTGCGGGCATATGACAATTTACCTCTTTCCCTTGATGTCTTACCACATCAGTCTAAAACCAGAAGCTAAAATGTAGTCTTCTCCAGATGCAAAATGCAAGCACTGCCTGCACAGGAGTACCGTGCAACTCCGAGATCTGGGCCTGTGGTGACCGGTCTACCATCGTGTTAAGGGAGATGGGGCTTGAGGCGGGTGTTGGATAGGTGGGGCTTGTGTGTAAACTTGTTGGTGGGCGGCGATGACTCTCGCGTCTATTGTTTCATCTAAATTTTATTTTTCGTGGTTGGGTGGCTAGTAGGAAGTTCATCTCCGTCTCCTCCCGGGCTACTGGGCCCCGCTCCAGTGGCTTCCTGCCCTGGTACATTTCAAGGCTTCCGTGCATCTGTCTTTCCTTCTTCGAGCCCAGCCAAACACCAGGTGTCTACCTTCCTTTATGACTTCCTTTTGCTTTTTTTCTTAGGGAGCAAGATGGCCTGTAGGGCCTTCTTCCGTCTTTGCACCAATCTTGTGTATTGTCCTTCTGCGTGGGGCACCTCTTTTGTTTACTGGTAAATGAGAAAAGAGGTGATTACTGGCACATATACTTGCTCGCAGTATTCAGTAGAGCATTGAGATTGGGGAGGGGTCCCGGAGTCTTAGACCCCCACCCTCAGGGCTGCCCTTTGTGCTGCCGGTGCTTCCTTTCCATCCGCCGGTGGTGGTGCTGCTGCTGGTGGTAGGTGGCCCCCCCGCCACAGTGGTGTATGCGGCTGCAGTTAAGCTTGTGGTTGGAGTGTTTGCGTGGTTATGATGGTGGGCTACGTGAGGGCAGCCGAACACGAGCGGCCAACAGAAGAGGCTATAGCGGCTGCAAAAGAGGTAAAGATGCCCCTTGAGAAGGCGCCGTTGCACTGCGGTGCATCTACACATCCTCGAGATGCCCAGAAGTTTGAAACTGTCCAAGCCCTTTCGGCTCCCCGCAGACGGTTGCTGCGACTGCTGCAGAAGCAACTGCTGTTGCAACTAGCTGCAAACAAACAAGGGGCGGACATAGACCCCAGGCGCCGACCTCCCCACGCTGCCACTCCTGAGAGTATCCTCGCTCGTTGGATCGCTGCTGACCCGAAGCGGCTGGTGGGCGGAGTGTTGGCATTGGGGTTGCATAGCCCCCTTGCTCTAGCGAGCAGAACCCCCAGCACTTCACAGCAGCCTGACTCCGGCCCCACGGGACAGAAAGCAAAGGTCACAAAGTGTCCCACTTCTTCTGCCGCAGGTGCTGATTCGGACGTTGGTGCAGCTCCCTTTCCAGGTGCAAAGGGGGACGAACCCCAAAGTGCTGCCACGGCAACAGCTGGAGTAGTAGCAGCAGGTGCTGCCGATCCAATCGAAACATACACAACCTGCAGCACCACTGCCAGCACAATCGATAACAGCAACGGCAAGAACAGCAGCAGCAACAACAACAGCTACAGCAACTACAACAGCTACAGCAACTACAACAACAACGAGGACAACAAGAACAGCGCCCTGTTTAGGCAGTTTGGGGGAGTGCCTGTGAGTGCCCCCAAGCGGAGTGATGAGGAGACGGCGGTTCGCGCGAAGAAGCATCAAAACCCCCAAGCAGTGGGCAGCAGGGAGGGTTCTTTGGCGCTGCGTGCGTCTTGCGTCTTGTGTCTGTCAGCTTTCTCTCCCGTGGGTGGCAGCTTTTTGTGTTGCACTTGCCTTCACACGCTCAAGAAAAAGCCCGAGAAACAGCCCTGGGCTGCGGAGGCCAACGGCGGGAGCACGGCTAAACGCAGCCTCTCCTCACTGTATAAAAATTCCCTCAAGAGAAGGGTTGGGCTTCCAACTATTGTGGATTCGTGCAGCACCCAACGACTCAGACAGAACAAGCAAGAAGCGTGCTTACACCCTCGCACACAAACGATCGTGCGGCATCCCAGACGCCGTTTTAAGCGGTCGGTATGTGCTGCCTCTGCTGCGAGGGAGCAGCCCCGAGAGGAGGTGCAGCAACAGGGAGGGCAGCAGCAGCAGCAAAAGGACGGTTGTTGCGAAGGTTCTGCTGGTGGGTACAGCGAGGCGAAGGAATGCATTGGATGGCGGGCGCGTGCAGCTGCTGCAGCAGCAGCAGATGCGGACGACGACAGCAGCTGGTGGGGTAGCACAAATGCATCAAGAGAGCCTCTGGTGGTGCCGCCTTT